GCCCTGGGACTGGGAGATTGGGGTTCAAATCCTAGTTAGGTCATACCAAAAACTTAAAAAAATGACCCAATGCCTCCCTGCTTGACTCTCAGCTTTAAAGGGTTGGATTGGGGGGTTAAATCACGAAACGGTTCCCAAGCACGGCCACAGTTGCAGCTCACCACTCCCCATGGGGATGGGTCAAATGCGGAGAGGAATTTCACCTGTGTGTGATGACTAAAGCCTGATTTATTTTTGTTCGTGAGCTCTGCAACAGAGACACACACATTGAGTGTCGGAAAGGTTTTCACATGCGAATTAATGCACAGGCACCGGTGCATTGCAAAGCAATTCCCTGCCAGGACAACAGAGGGTGTAGCGCTTTTCTGTGGTATCCTGCCACCATGACACTCATTTATCCAGTCCAAGATGGTGTATTTACTAATGTGTTTATATATTTCAGAGACTTTATAACAGGCAAATTTATCCTTCCTTCTCCTTCACCTCTTCATGAGGTCACCACCTCTAAACACACGTTTGCCGTCATTTCCGTCCATGTTTGCTATTTTTTATTTGTTAAGTCACGGGTGAATAAACATTCATATTTTCAGACTTTTTTCAGCGATGCGTTCTTCAATCTGTCCTCTGTCTGCCGCTAAATATCTTTTTACGGGGGTAACAGTAGTGCTGGTGACGAATTTACAGGAAGCAGCATCCTGACCAACCCACAAGCTTGCGATCAATGTCGTCACCTTTGATGGATGTTAAAAATTCTGGGCATGTCTCCATCACCCTCCATGAGCGCGTCGGAGAGCCTTTGCGCCAACGCATAATAGGGTTGCGTGTCTCCACACTGACGCAGACGGAGAAGTAAAAATCAGGCTTAATGGGACATTAACTTTAAATAAAGGAGCAAACAGAAAGAAATGTTTCACTTTCAATTTTACGCTAAAACGGCCTCTAGGGGATGCTAAAAGCAAGCCAAAACTACATAGTTTCCCTTTACCTTGTTTTTATTAGGCCCGAGCAGCGAAGCGCTGCGAAGGCCTATTGTATCTGCTCCGTTTCTTTTTTTTCTTTCTTTCTTTTTTTTTCTTTTTTTTTCTTCCGCGTCTTTGGACGGCCTTTAGGGGGTCTTAGCATATCCAAAAACTCACCAAATTCTGGCCCAATATAGAAAGTGCGTGAAATTTACGTATTTCACTGGCAATGTGAAAGTTGGTATAAAAGTGTTTCAACAGCGCCCCCTGGAAAATTAAAAATACCCCTCCGCATTGACCTTTTTTCATAGTAGAGTGATAAAATTTGGTACACCTGTAGAATTCAACAATACGCACAGAAAAGCCTCTTGCACCCATGGTCAATATCAAACAGGAAGTCGGCCATTTTGGACTAAAGTGGCCATTTTTACCCCATTTTGGCCATTTCTAGGCTCTATATTTGGTTAAACAGTTTGGTCATTTTTCGCACGATTGTCTCAAAAATAATGTGCGATCGAACAGAAGCGATGGACGAATCAAATGAGAAAATAAAACTGACTTTTCGTAAATACTGAAGAGGCGGGGCCAGGCCTCAAAGTTCGAGCACTCGCCAAAAAAATTCAAATTGCTATAATTTCATAAATGAAAGAATTACAGTTAAAGTAATTTTCTATGGACAATCGTCATCGCCCCCCGAAGACAAATGAATGGTTGATTGATGATGTCACATAAGCCCCGCCCCCTCACGCCTTAAAAGGTCAAGTTTTACTGGGAAATTGTCCAAAATTCGCCCTTTCAACTAATCACCCCATATTTCTAGCAGGAAACTGAAGACAAGTTGGGGTTGCTTGGCGTCACTTTATGGGAGTTTTCTCCAGAAGGCGGGGCTGTGGCGGCGCGGCGAAGTCAGGCGTACCGACGTGGCCTTACGTTTGCCTACCATTTCGTCATTTCTAGAGATATCGCCACAAAACCTCTTGTGAGTGATCCTAGTCCAGCCTCCAAAAAAATTTGATGTGAACATCCGGTGGGCGTGGCCTATTTTCTGAAATAGAGCCCCCTAGGACCATTAAAACTGTCAGCCCCAAGCCATGCTTTGACTGAGGATTTCGAAATTGGGTACACTAATGTGGTGTCTCAGGACCTACAAAAAAGTCTCTTGGAGCCAAGTGCAAAGTCGCACAGGAAGTCAGCCATTTTGGTCAAAGTACTCGATTTAGTGGTATTCGCACACGTTGTTTGGAGAGTGTTGCACCATCACCCTTTTCACCAATCACCTTCAAACATCTGCTATACGCTCTTAAGACATAGATGAAAAAATTCAACCGTCGGATTTTATATAAGTATAAAGGTGTGGGCGTGGCTAAGCCTCAAACTTTGACCTGTCGCCACGCCACTCTTTTTTTCACAGCTCCCTATCGGACTCCTTTTAACCAATCACCAGCAATCACTGGCAAATAGCAGCAGACAAGTTGAGGTCACTTGGTCTATAGTACTGGCAGGTTTAGAATAAAGGCGGGGCTTTGGGAGCATGGCGAAATTCGCCATCACGCCATGGAAATACGTTTGTCTCTCATTTCTTCAATCATTGTGACATCGCCACACAATTTCTGATGAGTGATCCTACTCTGACCCCTAATAGAACTGCACAGCTGAAGTTTGTGGGCGTGGCCTATTTAATGAAATAGCGCCCCCTAGGACCATTAAAACTGTCAGCCCCAAGCCATGCTTTGACTGAGGATTACGAAATTTGATACACTAATGTGGGGTCTCAGGACCTACAAAAAAGTCTCTTGGAGCCAAGTGCAAAGTCGCGCAGGAAGTCGGCGATTTTGGTCCAAGTACTCGATTTAGTGGTATTCGCACACGTTGTTTGGAGAGTGTTGCACCATTGCCCTTTTCACCAATCGCCTTCAAACATCTGCTATATACTCTTAAGACATAGATGAAAAAATTCAACCGTCGGATTTTATATAAGTTTAAAGGTGTGGGCGTGGCTAAGCCTCAAACTTTGACCTGTCGCCACGCCACTCTTTTTTTCACAGCTCCCTATTGGACTCCTTTTAACCAATCACCAGCAATCACTGGCAAATGGCAGCAGACAAGTTGAGGTCACTTGATCTATAGTACTGGCAGGTTTTGAATAAAGGCGGGGCTTTGGGAGCATGGCGAAATTCGCCATCACGCCATGAAAATATGTTTGTCTCTCATTTCTTCAATCATTGTGACATCACAACAAAATGTCTGATGAGTGATCCTAGTCTGACCCCCAATAGAAATGGACAGCTGAAGTTTGTGGGCGTGGCCTATTTTCTTAAATAGCGCCCCCTAGGACCATTAAAACTGTCAGCCCCAAGCCATGCTTTGACTGAGGATTACGAAATTTGATACACTAATGTGGGGTCTCAGGACCTACAAAAAAGTCTCTTGGAGCCAAGTACAAAGTCGCACAGGAAGTCGGCCATTTTGGTCCAAGTACTCGATTTAGTGGTTTTCGCACACGTTGTTTGGAGAGTGTTGCACCATCGCCCTTTTCACCAATCGCCTTCAAACTTCTGCTATATACTCTTAAGACAAAGGGAGAAAAATTCAACCATCGGATTTTATATAAGTATAAAAGTGTGGGCGTGGCTAAGCCTCAAACTTTGACCTTTCGCCATTACATCACTTGACTTAACTCCCATGTGCATGATCAGATCTATATCAAACTGTGTCTGTGTGATCATTGACCACATCTCAAGACAGTGACAATGTGGACAGCTGACATCACCTAAGCCCCGCCCCCTGACTACAGGAAGTCTATTTTTTATGGTGAAATGCCCATATTTGTCCCCTCTAATTTAGTCAACATGACACTAAGGTCATGCACTGTCTTCATGATATTGTAATGACCATTCAGATCTGCTAGCTTTTCAGAAAGGGAGGGGCTTTGATGCCATGGCGATTTCTTACTCTGACCCCTAATAGACATGGACAGCTGAAGTTTGTGGGCGTGGCCTATTTTCTGAAATAGCGCCCCCCTAGGACCATTAAAACAATCAGCCCCAAGCCATGCTTTGAGTGAGGATCACGAAATTTGGCACACTAATGTAGTGTCTCAGGACCTACAAAAAAGTCTCTTGGAGCCAAGTACAATGTCGCACAGGAGGTCGGCCATTTTTGTCCAAGTACTCGATTTAGTGGTTTTCGCACACGTTATTAGGAGAATGATGTCTCGTTGTCCTTTCCACCGATCACCTTCAAACTCCTGCTATATACTCTTAAGACATAGAGGAAAAAATTCAACCGTCGGATTTTAAATAAGTATAAAGGTGTGGGCGTGGCTAAGCCTCAAACTTTGACCAGTCGCCATTATGTTACTTGACTTAATAACTCCCATGTGCATGATCAGATCAATTTCAAATTTTGTCTGTGTGATCACTGACCCCATCTGAAGACAGTGACAATGTGGACAGCTTACATCACCTAAGCCCGCCCCCTGACTACAGGAAGTCTACTGTTTTATGGTGAAATGTCCATATTTGTCCCCTCTAATTTAGTCAAGATGACACTAAGGTCATGCACTGTCTTCATGATGTTGTAATGACCATTCAGATCTGATAGCTTTTCAGAAAGGGGGGGCTTTTATGCCATGGCGATTTCTGGCGTGACGCTGTGACCTTACGTTTGACTGTAACTTCCACAAACAGCCTTCGATATGCCCGAGACTGAACATCACATCACCAGTGTAGTAAAGATAGAGTATCTCCTAGTGGTGAGACGTGTAATGGTGGTCTCAGAGGGGATGCTGAGTCAGGGTGAGGTGTGGACGCGGAGGCCGTTCACGGTTTCTGGTGTCGGGGTGGTTGACTTTCTGTTCTGCGAGACGTGCCCTGGTGCCCCCGGCTGCCGGCCAGGATGGAGAAGCGCGGAGCTGGGTTTGGAGAGCGTCGCGGATGGAGCGGAGGGGTTGCGGAAGGAGGGCGAGCAGCTTCGCTGCGAGGGCCGAACGACGCTGCTTGCAGCTTTAATTTTATTTGTATCTGTTTAACTTTTGAACAGGAAGTTCTGGAGGCATCTGTGAAAGAAATAAGCAATACTCTGATGGCAGGAGGAAATCTCTCAACACTGGGATCATCACTGTGCAGAACTACGCTGCACACGTCCCTCCTAAGGTGTCTCACATCACCTTCGCACATGAAGTCGGACACAACTTTGGTTCTCCTGTGAGTACTGTGACATAAAATGATCATAAAAAGTGGTGTCGCTAACACACAACATGTTCTACGAAGGCTTTTTTTCCCTTTGTCTTACAGCATGACTCTGGGATCGAATGCACCCCCGGAGAGTCCAAGCTTAAGGACAAAAAGGACGGCGGGAACTACATCATGTATGCCAGAGCCACATCAGGAGACAAATACAACAATAACAAGTTCTCTATCTGCAGCATTCGCAACATCAGTGGTGTTCTGACTAAGAAGAGAAATGACTGTTTTGTTGGTAAATTCTCCCGTATTAACACACGTTTGTATGTGTGTGTGAGAGAATTATTCTGTTTTTTTACGCTGGTGTGTTTAACGTGTGTGTGTGTGTGTGTGTGTGTGTACAGAGTCAGGCCAGCCTATCTGTGGTAATGGCCTCGTAGAAGATGGGGAGCAGTGTGACTGTGGCTACAGCGATCAGTGTACAGACTCCTGCTGTTACGACGCTAATCAAGAGGAGGGCAAAAAGTGCACGCTTAAACCCAACAAACTGTGCAGGTCCGGTTTTTATTCTGTCAAATGCAAACAAATGTAACATTTGGAACTTTTTTCTACTTTTAATCTCGTCTGTTTTATTGACACAGTCCAAGCCAAGGGCCATGCTGTCAAAGGGACTGTACATTTAAGGGCAACACAGAGAGTTGCAGACAGGAGTCAGAATGTGCTCTAGAGGGCAAGTGCAATGGACAGACTGCCCAGTGCCCAACCTCAACGCCAAAGACAAACTACTCCACTTGTCATTCTGCAACACAAGTCTGCATTAATGGGGTGAGTTTGTAAATGTTGCCCTTTAAAAGTTTGTGTTCAGTTTAAAAGTTTATATGTTTTTAATACATTTTTTTCTTCCACTGCTCTCTTCGTTTTGAATAGGCCTGCACTGGTTCCATTTGTGAAAAGTATCATCTGGAAGTTTGCAACTGTGCCATCGAAGAAAAGGAAGCTGAAGCTGCAGAGCTGTGCCATGTCTGCTGCATGGAGAAAAGTGAGCAACAGACTAATGATGCATCAAAAATCTGCAGTATCATAACCTGGCAAGCCATCCTATATATGTGAATAGATAGTCTGGCCACGGCCTATTGACGGCTCTCAGTCATGGGGCGGAATCTATTCGTCGCATGCCTGTGGATAACAAACAACGTGACGTACTCACCGCTACAGATATCAGTCAACGAGGCAGTGCACCATACTCCGCTGAAGAAAATGCAAATGCATAATTTTTCTAAATAAACTTAAATACCTCTATCTGCTCTTGACTCATAAAAAAACCCAAGTCAAATAGTCCAAAGTTGATCCAAAAGCCATTTCTAATGAGCCGTCGCCATCTTTATTTTTTTAGTAGCATTCTGCCCAGTAACAGAGTGCCGTGATTAGGTGATGGGTACCTTTGACATTTGAATCGATTCGGTACTAATTCCCTGTACCTAGGAATCGATACCGGTACTTAACTGTACCAATTTTTGATACTTTTGGGTGTTTATTATTTTAATTCTCTTTTATAATTAAATATATATTTTTCTCAATATATAACAATATTTGATAAATATCACGATAAATAACATTCAACTGTTTGTATTTTAACATCGTCCTTGTAGTTTTATAAGCTGATAATTAAACTGAAGCAAACATCTTTACTGTGAACTAAATTTACTGTGTATCTTCATTCCTTTTGCCGTCTTTTTTCATTTGATTTTTCCTACTGGGAAGTTAGAATTTCCGAGGAGAAAGCGAACGCACCATTAGCTGATAACAACGGTGGCAATGGAAGCTAACATATCAAGCTAACGTTATCTTTAACAGTTTATTTAACTGCTGGAGCAGATTAAAACGATGATGCCTCACACTGAGGTCGTTGTCGCTGGTTTCATCTTCACCCAATCACCCGTCGCATTTAGTAAAGTGAAGCCAAACTTTAGAGTGCGTTCGTGTTCTTCTAGTCGGAAATTCGGAGTTCCGAGGAGAAAGCGAACGCACCATTAGCGAAACGGAAGCTAACATATTAAGCTAACGTTATCTTAAACATTTTATTTACCTACCGGAGCAGATGAGGATGTCTCACTTAGATCGTTGTCGCTGGTTTCATCATCACCCAGTTACCCATCACATTTAGTGAAGTGGACCCAAGCTTTAGCTTGCGTTCTTTCTACCATGCCGCTCTGTTTACAACACGCTCGCAGCGAGCGACAACATAACGCTCTTGCGCATGCGCAGCTGTCTTGGCAAGTTCTCGTTGTGAAGGACAGGTACCGAAACGAGGCACCGTTTGAAATGACGTGAATCGGTGCTCAGTCGGTACTATGGAATTCGGTCGGTACCTTAAAAAGTACCGAATTCGGTACCCATCCCTAGCCGTGATTGGCCCACCAAACCAATAGGACGCTGTGATTGGACCGCTACAGAGCCATTGCCATCTTAGTTTCGCTCAGACGCACTAACATCCCGCCCATCTGACTGATAGAGCGCTGTGATTGGCCCACCAAACCAATAGAGAACTGCGACTGGACTGCTACAGTTGTCAGTCATAGAGGCAGTCTGCCATCGCGATAGAAGCAGTAAAGAAGATGAAGATACATAGTTTTTCTAAATAAACACGCTGTGATTGGCCAGCCGCAATACTGGCCGGGCCTGTGGAGGTTCCAGTGGAGCATTGCTAGATCCAAAACAAAGTTATTTGTTTGGAAAAATTACGGTCTAGGTTTTAGGCTAGGAATATCATTGACAAACAAAAGAGAGCAATCAAACAAAAGTGGTTCAAATCTTTACCTTTTGTTTGGGACTTGCATTGTTTCTTAAATGAGTTCCTGTTTGTGGTTAATCTTTTTCAATAACCCTTAAGGACCTGTGGTGACGCTGGTGTCACAACCCATTTCAAACATCTGCAAAATTGCTTCTTGAGTCACCTATTCAAGTTTGAAAACACACATTCTATCCATACAAATATTGAAAATTATTAAACTTCTTTATTTTATTTGCATTTTTTTCTACATTCTGATGTATTTATTCTAATCTGTTTTCTAATTCAAAAGCGGTTGGGTTCTAAAGGGTTAAATAGCATGTCTTCTTTAAAATGTATACATTCAGTAAAATAAAACTCTTGAATATAAACTCCCCTAAGCACAGATCCTTATAGTTTCTGTCAGAAATGAAATGATAATGGTGTAATTGGTGTAAAATAGCCATCAGCAGTTTAAAGAAGCCTCTCATATATCTTCCAGATAACCCCAGCACCTGCAGCAGCACCAGCTCAGACAAATGGGTCCGTTACTTCAACAAGACTGTGATAACGCTGCAGCCCGGATCACCCTGCAACGACTTTAAGGGATACTGTGATGTCTTTATGAGGTGTCGCCTGGTGGATGCTGACGGGCCTTTGGCCAGACTAAAGAAAGCCATCTTCAATCCAGAGCTCTATGATAACATTGCAGAGTGGATTGTAGTGAGTGTTCCTGAACCAAGTTCTACTAACGTTTTACTGTAGTTTGTGCTTGTGTTAGATATAAAATTTGCTTTTTTTGTCCAGGCTCATTGGTGGGCCGTGCTGTTGATGGGCATTGCTCTCATTATGTTAATGGCAGCCTTCATCAAGGTCTGCAGTGTCCACACTCCCAGCAGCAACCCCAACCTTCCTCAAGCAAGGGAACTTCCAGGTACGTGTATACCGTAAATCCTCTAATATTAGCCTGTATTTAATTAACTGCCGGGTATCATATTTTGGCCGGAGTCGGCGGAGGTGAATAATGGCCGTTTTTTTATTGTGGCCGGGTGGAATGTGGTAACAAGCAAGTACGGGGGGCGGTTGTGTCATCCGTCTCACTTTTGATTTGCCAGTGATAGACCGCGAGGGTAACTTTAACCATGCGGAGACGAAGAGGAGGCGAAAATGTGATATCAAGTTCAAAGAGAACGTGCTGATTATGCTGCAGAACACTCTGGGGAGCAGTAGCAGGGGTTGTATGAACTAGTCACTAGTCGACTTCACCGCTCTATAGTGACTTGTTATGCCTGCCATCGACTAGTCGCTGTCACGTGATAATGACCGGTAAGATGCAGTCCACGGAAAAGACAGCAGCCTGCTGTCAGCAGGTGACAAGCTCCTGCGCATCGGGAGGCAACGCGCTGTGCCAGAACGTCGGTACTGACACACGCCGTAAAACGGACATTTAACCAAATTGTGACGTTTACCCTCTTGCAATTTAACCTTCCCCTCACCCCCATCCTAACCTTAACCAGCTTGCGCATGCAATGCTCTGATTGTTGACGCGCTCCTGAGCACGGCCACAGTAACATTATCAAATCAGGTGTCGCCACCTCAAAAACTAATTTAACACGCGATCGTTCATGTCGGCTCATTTCCTTTTATGTTTTCTGTCTTTTATTCTTTTATTTGCGCCTGACGCGTTTCGCTGCTGTGGATCGGGGCGCATCACCTGTTTTGCCCTCGGTGACGCACCTAACTGATGTGGCCGGCACGCACTCCGCTGTTTTTGCGGTCGATAAATCTTTTAGAACTGCAGTTCAAAGTTAACTCATAAGGTGAATGTATATGAAGCCAGGTAGCAGTTTTTCTTTAGGATTGAGAGGAGATGCAGGTATATAATAAACAGGCAGGATAGAAAAATAGTCAAATAAAAACAAGTTAGTTTTTGTACCTGGTGGTTGCAACAAACAGACACCATTGAAGGTAATCAGAAGTGAGGAACAGAAAATGAAATAATTATTTTAATGTTTAGAGCAGCAGGAACTCCGAGAGGCTGCAGGCGCATCAGTGAGTTTGCCGCCGCTGCGCAGGGGGAGGGCTGAAGCAGAAACTACCGTTGTTAAAAGAAATGTGTGTAACTTAGAAAATGTGGGCGCAATTTTAATTGTCAAAAACTCCAGCAAACCATTAGTTCATTTTGCTCAAATTGAAATTGAGGCCTGCCTCTAATTCTGGTCCTCCTTCCAATAAAGGCCTGGAGCTTGATGAGTTTGAGTCAAATACAGGCCTGTATTAGAGGATTTACAGTAAACTTTTAGGTATTGCATAAAATGTTTTAATGCTGTTATAACAAATCTGCTAAAAGCTAGCTTTTGAACTCAAACACTGTCGGATTACTCAACCCTCTCCTCAGGTGTCTTCCCTGAGACTCTTCTGCCAGAACCGTAATCCTGTGATGCCAGATGAAACGATAGCGCGCTAAACACCAGTTATTGTTTTCTAGGTCCAAACGTCTTTTGTTGTCTGTGACTTCAAATGGTTTTTCTTTTTGGGACTCTGGTAGTTTGTCCTAAAGTTGAAGTGGTAGCAGCCAGCTGTTTCTCCTTCTCTGATATTATTGAGCAGAGAATGTCTCACACCAGTGGTGTCCTGTTGCCAAACACACGAGTGCGTAATGAATGGAGGACCCAGGAAAGTTTGGCGAGACAGACAACTGGACGGTCCAAAAGTTGTTTTCTGTCCAAAACGTGTTATTGGTGGAGGTTTTTAGACAAATGCCAGAGAACTACTGCATACCCAGCTGCAGTGGGGGTGCATCATCGACATAGAAATATATGGACAATTGGTTTCCATAGGCTCCAATAACACATTTTTGAAGAGAAATGGGAGGTGGCCACCACCGCCATTTTGACCGTGTCACAGGTTCGTCAAGCCCAGGCAATTCCACAAAAGGGAAGAGAGGTGGAGCTGAAGGTGGGACTGTAAGGCTGGGATCAAATGACGACACCCGTCAAACTGAAGCTAATGTAGCTACAAGCTAACCTGAAGCTAACCCAAAGCTAACGCGGAGGTGGGAGCTAAGCTAATGTTGGTAGCAACCTAGCTACAACCAGAGTTAACTGTGCACAACACCAGAGCTTCTGAGTCACAGATACGCCGGGCTGACCGCTGGGTAAAACCGGGTGGAACACAGGTCTCCCGAGAGCTTCACAAGCCGGCAGCCGCGCAGCAGACAAGCGCCACTGCGATCAGAGATGCGCAGAGCTGCCACTGGGGAGAACCGGGTGGAAAACATTGGTTTCCATCCGAGAGCTCCTCAAGCCAGCAGCCCGCACAGCAGACAAGCGCCGCGGCGATCAGAGATGCGGCGAGCTGCGGGGTGGGGACCATACCGATAGTCGGAACCCAGCTCCACCAACATGTTATATTTCAACCCATTTTCTAAAATGCAGCGTTATGTTAAATGCACTGGGTTTTACCCTATTACATTTAAATTTCATGGTTAAACAGTACATGTTAAAATCTAAGCTCAGCTAGTGCAAGAGCATCAGTGACCTAAAATCATCGACATAAATACATAAATATAATTTTACTTACCGAAAAAAATGAAGTGGAGACTCCTTGGACGCTCTATTAGTGCAATTAATACCACAGCAAGTCATTTTGTCCAACAGTTGCACAAATAGCATCCAAAAAAAGAATGCACAAACGCTACAACTAAGTTCAGAGACTAAAAATCGCGGAACAGTTTTCAGGCGAGGCTGAGGCTCAGACTGAGGCTACTGAGGCCTTTCCACGGAGCTAGCTCTGTGGTCACGTGGGTCTGATGCTCATTAATTATACAGAATTTTAGGCTTTTAATACACTTAAACAGAAGAGTGAGAAAAAAATTCACCCCCCTCAGAGTTGTCATGAGTATAAACTAGATCAGTTAAACCAAAAACATGTTTTGGTACCAGAGCGTCGGTCCTGACACGCGATCGTTCATGTCGGCTCATTTCCTTTAATGTTTTCTGTCTTTTATTTGCGCCTGATGCGTTTCGCTGCTGTGGAGCGGGTCGCATCACCTTGTCATCCGGTGACGCACCGATCACTGATGCGGTCGCCAAGCAGCGAGCACTCCGCTGTTTTTGCGGTCGGTAGATCTTTTAGAACTGCAGTTCAAAGGTAACTCATAAGGTGAATATATATGAACCCAGGTAGCAGTTTTTCTTTAGGATTGAGAGGAGATGCAGGAAGATAATAAACAGACAGGACAGAAAAATGGTCAAATAAAAACAAGTTAGTTTTTGTACCTGGTGGTTGCAACAAACAGACACCATTGAAGGTAATCAGAAGTGAGGAACAGAAAATGAAAGAATTATTTTAATGTTCAGAGCAGCAGGAATTCCGAGAGGCTGCAGGCGCATCAGTGAGTTTGCCGCCGCTGCGCAGGGGGAGGGCTGAAGCAGAAACTACCGTTGTTAAAAGAAATGTGTTTAACTTAGAAAATGTGGGCGCAATTTTAATTGTCAAAAACTCCAGCAAACCATTAGATCATTTTGCTCAAATAGAAATTGAGGCCTGCCTCTAATTCTGGTCCTCCTTCCAATAAAGGCCTGGAGCTTGATGTGCTTGAGTCAAATACAGGCCCGGGCCTGTATTAGAGGATTTACGGTATCTGTAATCGTGCTGAAGGAAAATCCTCATTGGGTAACTGACTGTCTTTACGCTCTATGATTGGCCAGTCACATAGAGCGCCCGTCCCTTCCTACACACAAAACTCTCTAGCCGGCCGGGAGCGCAGTCCGTCCGGCTCATCCACGCACACACATAGACAGTAACAGATCTCGCTGTGCTTGCTTCACTGTTGCACGTTTCTTCAGTTTTCCCTAGGTTTTCTTCAGCTCGCCTCTTTTTCGGTTGAATATTTAAAGTTAATTTTTTCGTAACTTACATGGTGCATTTGACAAGACAGAGCTGACGTGCTGTGTTAGTCACTACCTCCGCTCCGGTCGGGTTTTTTATTTTTTTTTAACTCCATCTCTGTCCCTCTCACCCTCTCTATCTCTCTCAGACACACACACCTTAATCAACATTGTTTTGTTTAACATTGTGTGGGGCAAAATGCCAAGAACGTTAAGAAAAAAATCAGTTTAATCAAATTAAAATAAAAATATATATATAAAGTTGTGTCTGGTTCTAGCATTTCATATTTCCTAGTTCCTACTGCATGAGTTCAGATGTATTAATCCATGCACTTAAATATTAATGTTCTGATTTTATTGAAAGACTTGTTCTGAAATAGTTTCTTTACTATTGTGATCAAAAATATTTCATCTCAATTCCGAGGCTGCTCTGTAAATAGTTTTCAAATAAACAATACACATATCAACTTCTGATCATTCCATATCAATTTCAGACTTAAAATAATATATTGATGTAAACCACGCCCACTTCCGGGGTATGCCACGCCCATTCCGAGTACAGATACAGATACAGATAATTTAGTTGGTTGAACAGATACAGATACAGATAGTGGTGTACTCGCTCATCCCTAATAGCTACACTATGTTAGAACGTTGTTGAGAGGCATGAAAACAAGTTTTAAGCTATTTGTTTTCCAAATTTGCCATTGCAGCTTTAAAGTTTTGCTCCTTTTAATCTGATTTGAATCTGAAAAAAAAACCACAGTTCAAAGTACAAATGCAGCAAGTTGGTTAGTTTTCATGTTTAAGGTCGTTTATGTAAATTTCTAGTGAAACACACCTCATTTTCATTGTTGAAACTTCATGTGGCCATGCACTGATGCCTAAATATTCCACAGCTACACTGAGAAGGAGGAAAAATCCACAAACAAGGTCTCGGCAACGGCCTCGTGACGAGCCTCCACAGAGAGAGCAGTACCAGATGGGACAGCAGCATCCGATGGGACAGCAGCATCCGAGGGGACAGCAGTATCCGAGGGGACAGCAGTACTGAGACACTCCTTGCCTTGCTTTTTAGTGCCTACAACAAGAGCACTTCACTCCAAAGAGTTACCTTTACTACAGAATGCAACTTTCAACAAACTTTGAACAGAAACTTTTTTAAGGGACAATGCTCAAATGTTTTTTTTCCAGGGCTAACAGTCACACACCATCTTGTTCTGAGAGCCAGTTGAAAAGTGGTTCACATACCTTTTGTAGGAGATGAAAACCAATCCAAGGAAGAACAGGGGAAGAAATTCTCTAGTCTGTTGTCGTCTTAATCATATAAATTGTCTTTCAATGCGCTTTTCTTTTTCTTCATTTTAATCAGAATGAACAAGACTAAAAATATTTTATTTGTGCAAAACTCCCCCTGGTCTGACACGCAGCCGTCGTTGGCATGACTGCAGAAACTGTTCCTGATGGATAACTTATTTTCTATCCCGACTGACGTATGATGGTCTGTGATGGAGTCATTGGGCCTTGTTTCAAATGAAATTGAATTTCTGAGTGATTTTCTGTTCCAGTTGACTTTCTCAGGATTATTCAGACGATAAGGTTGATTACAGGGTGAGGTCCATCCTCGCTGAAGCCTGTAGAGGTTTACACGAGCTGCTGTGTGATGCAGGAGACGGGTTCAAAAGAATGTAGATGCATGACTTTAATTCACGTACATAGAGATCAGTGATGACAGAACAGAGATATTTAAAATGTGGTCATAGTGATGGTTTTGCACTTGTATTTGCATAGTTATATATAATCTAGGACTTAAATCCACGTTGGACTGATTCAGTAGAAGCTGGAAACTGATCTGGGCACGTTTGTCTAGAGAAATATTTAGTGCCACAGTTTGGTCGTTCTTATTGAGTTCTTTTAGTTTCTTTTATTTATCGGTCTGTTTCTTGTTGTTTAGCTGTTAAAGGACAAGCCAAATGAAACCACTTCTTAACTATAGCGTCCGTGTTGCCTCTGCTGCCAGCTAAAGATTGTCTGGTCTGAATGTGATCGTCAGCCTCGACTTTGCTCATTTTAATAGCAGCTTAGATTATTTTGCGTTTGTGGGAGAACTCAATCACTTTGGGGGGGTTAAAATATAGAGATTTAAAATCTATTGTTGTTTTTTAACTGAGAGAACAATCAATATGTGTTGCCTACTGTTCTTTTTATTTCTTTCCTGTTTGGGGGTTTCTTGTGCAGCGTTAATGCTTTTGTTGTTACACATGATTTGTTTGTTAGTGCGTTAAAATGTGCCTACGGTGCAACTAAAGTTGGTATTCTAGTGTCTGGGACCATGGCAGAAAGGGTGCACCTTAAAAGGGTTTAAAGCCTGAATTTGAGACTGCATAAGGCCTCATGTCAGATGTGTAACATTTACCACATAAATGCTTTGCTGGCCACTCGAAGATGACTAGTCCTCCTTTAGGGTCAGTTGGATTCATATCGACTGACGTGTGAAGGAGAGCACAAATCACTCAAAAGTCACGATTCTGGTGAAATATACAAGCATATTTCTTCAATTCAAAGAGCATCATTCATGCAGCAGAGCTGTGTCTGATGCAACTCGACTGTTTTTCTGCCGTGTGTTGTTGATCAGATTCTAAGCAACAAGCAGATGCCTTTATCACATCCTCCGGAAAACAGGCACATTATATGAATGAATCTATTTTATAATAAAATGTGTTCAGAGTGTTTGAATTCTCAGTTTCTTCTTGCTGAATTTGTTTGGTGCTGCTGTTATTTTTTTAAAAAGCTTTTAGGTGTGTGTGTGTGTGCGTGCGTGCGAGCGAGCGAGCGAGCCGTTTTGCTGTATTATCCTTATTTTGTTGGCAGATGTGTAAAACATTGGGCTGAAACTCTGGGAAATTTCCTTCACACGTTGCATGTGATGTGGAGAAAATGTGCACTGACATTAAAGATTAGGAAAATGCAAAATGGCTAAAACATCGGACTACTCTCGGATTTCAGTGCCTCTGTTTTCAGCTTGTGTTCATGTCCTCTGCCGTTTCTCATACTGCTTTAAAGTTTTTACAAAATTTTCAATGATTTTATTTCCTTTGAACTACTTGAAATGCATAATAAAACTGAGTTAGTCGACCTTTGGAAATGATTGTTTGTCTTAAATAAGAGGAAACACTGACCGATAATTTTAGCTTAAAGGTGTGGAACTCTTAAATAATTCCTTCCTGATTATATTTAATCACTGACTTTTTCATGCAGGCTGAACATGAAAAAGTCTCCTCCACCTATCTCCTGCATTAGCTTCTAATAGAAAAAAAAGACGGTGAAACTCTAGGATTTTAAAAGCATGAAAAATTAAGTCACACAGAAATATTCATGGACTCACTCATCTTGGTTCAAGCCGGAGAAGGCTGTTGTTGGTTTAGCATCCAGGACTCAACAGAGAACATCTGTTGGTATAAGCTAACTGTTAGCATTAGCATCACCACCACATGGCAGAAGCTCCTCCAGTCTTGTTATTTGCGGAGATAAAACATCCACTTTTCAAGTCAGTGGTAGAGTTGCATTGCTGTTGTCCAATCAGAGGTGAGATGTCCAACTATCAGGAAATAAGACTCCAAATCCTGCTGTCCGAAGCTCAGCTGTGATGTGGGTCACTTCTTGTTCCTCGAAATAGTGTGCCAGAGTTTTTTACCCCCAGAGTACGACTTCCGAGGTATTCATTCCTGCTTGAGACCACTGCAAATGTGTTGATAAAATGAGGAGTTCAGCACCTTTAATACTTTTCATAGTTTCACAAATAAAACATTTTTATCACAGAGGTGTCCTGTGAAATTTTGGCCAGAAGAGGGTGTTGTCTATTGTCTCTTGTATTTAAACAACTGAGATGGTCAGGGTGATAGAACACTGTTAAACAGCTTCAAACAGGCTCTAAGCATCTCTGCCATCATGATGACACCTGGTACAGGCACTAACGGTCTCTTCACAAAGGGCCATCCATCCCATACTCCACGAGCAGCCCTTATCGGCCTTCTTCAGGTAAACGCATGAAGACTTTTAGTTTACCCTGGGTTTCTGATTAGAGGAGCAGAGGATGCATTAATGGGCTGCTGAACTGTTTGCACCAAACTCCTACCACCGGTCAGTGTTACTGTTTACACAAACTTCATTGTATTAGGGAGGGGGAAATCCAAACTCAAAACATCACTGAAGATATCAGTTTATTGCTCTGGCTTGAGTTTGAATAACATTTTTAAAAAAACAACTAATTTTCTTATATGATCGCACCGATTTGTAATAAAAATATTCAGGTTTAACAATATTCAGATTTTGTTTTGATTCTGTAATTTTGTATATGTCAATTGTTTGGAGAGAAAGTCTGAGTACACACACTCACAAAGAAAAGCATGAAACAGGTGCTTGCATAATATTTTCCAAACCTAGTTTGCAAGCAAACACAAATATTATGTGCTGGTTAGTTTTTGAATTTCTTTAACCCTCTGGAGGCAGGCGTTGCAGATTTGCAACAGTTAAAACCAACCTACCTGGTTACTCCACACGTATTTCATGAGCATTTTTTTTTAAACTCAGAAGTACCCCTGAAGGACTTAGTTGTTCATCCTTTTATCAAAACTTATTTTGAGCCTGAGCGGGTTAACAACTGTTGAGCTTGCACCACTTTATTCTGAGGAGGGTAAGTTTATTTCTGAACTTCCAGCTTCATCAGAAATCTTCAGACTCTGTGTTGTTGGTGTCTTTTGTGCAGCTTTGGTGAGTCTTCTTTGCAGCGGACAAACTCTTTATCTTCGGCCATTTCGACATGTCCATCATTTGTCATGGTGCAAAACGATGTTCTAAAAACAGAAGAATATTAAGTGATGATTGTGTGATGTTAAGAACCGAGTCGTGAAACAGGGAAATAATCCACTAGAGGGTGGTAAAAGTCTGAGACGGAGATCATTTCTGCTGTCAGAAGAGACAGAAACACTACAGTTTTTCTCAGTTGCTTTGGTGCATTTCTCACAACAGAATTGATTTCTGCACTACTATTAAGGCTTTTCTCAAAACAATTAGTGCAAACTGCAAAACATGGTGGATAACTTGCAAAAGTGAGTCACTTCATCAAAAAGAAAAGTCAGTTGTTCAAAATAACTAGTCAATGCTTCAAAAGCAAGTCCCTTTATCAAAACAGATAATATATTCATCAAAAGCAAGTACTTATATCAATCAAAGTGTCAGGGCTGTCACAATTACAAGTCATTACACCAGCACCTTTGGTCACAAAATCAAATGGTTTGAACATGTTCTCATTGTGACTGGTTTCTTTGTAGGTGCTTCCCAATGACATCTCAAGTCTGGACAGCATGCATGGCATGTTGAAAACCATGAATTGTAAAGGAAAATCAAGACACTTCATATGCACTCTTGATAATATTTAAATGAAACTGTTCACAGCATTGTGCAACTGGGGAAATACAGTAAAACAAACATTTTACAGCAAACATAAACTCACTTAGACAGTAAACCTTACTGCAGTAGTTATGAAACAATCAAAATTAAAAACTGAACAGACACTGCTGCATATCAATCATTGATATCTAGACGCTCCCGTCTGTCTGCTCACATAATTTCATCAACATCACAGCAAATGTCAGCTCTATCGATGCATCGGGGAAAGTAACTTCTGGAGTGTTGAATCCACCCTCTGCAGGACTCTGCTGTGATGTCGTCACAAGCTGCATCCATAGCTGCTAGCAGGGCCATTTGGGTATGTGGATGCCCGTCATATACCTTCCACCTCCAGGAAGAGAAAAACTCCTCAGTTAGATTTAGAAATGGAGTGTAAGGAGGAAGAAACTCCATAAGCATCCTGTCGTGTGCTGCAAACCACTGCCTGACTACAGCAGGGTGATGGAAGCTAACATGATCCCAAACCACTACATACATTGTCCGATTGTCACCAGGACACACACCAGTTTTCATTTGTGTGAGATAAGGTTCACCTGAGAAAAGTAATTTATGGAGAATTCTATTGAAACTCCTTAAAAATAGGGTTTTCAAAATGGGTGTACAAAGTGTTTGACAAGATGTTCAACAATTTTGAGTGCAATGACACAAGCAATGAAATGAAGACTATTAGTTGTAAGGACAATGACTATTCAGCCGGCACAAGTATAAATAATTGTGACATTCATGATAAAAGCAAGGAGATAGCGATGAATAGCAAGTCAAAAGTGACCATTCTTTAGACATTTGTACTTACTCAACTGCTTCATGAAATGAACATGAAACCGCCACTAGGTTGTGCCAAAACGACTACATGTTGTGAAGGTTGAACTAACTGTTGTGCAAAGTTTAATTCTGTTGTGAGAAATGCACCAAAGCAACTGAGAAAAACTGTAAATACTTACTGAAGTAGCAATGAAGTGCTGTTTATTTTAGAAAATTGGAACTGTCTTTTACTTATTTAAAAAAACAATTGAGCCATCGTCCTCTACAGTAGGCAGTAGCTTCTTTAGCATGCTTTCACTAATAATGTGCAACCCTATTTAATTAATAGAAATATAACTTTTAAATAAATCTTGATTTTGTGAAATCTTAAATGTGACTCTAAACCCTAAGAGAGCTGTACCTCTGCTGCGTCTCTCCTGCCTTCACGCTGATTTTGCCCACTGTCAGATGTGGATTTGTCCCTTCGCCTGCCCAGGAAAAGATGTTCTGCATTCGGTTCCACACGTTCTTCCACAAATCCGATCCCTCCCAGCTCAACTTGAGCATCATCAGCTCTCCCAGGTCTCTGTCCAGAGTGATCAGGAAGGTGACGGTCGTGTTGCCGGAAATTCCATCATTCCTGGTGGAAAGTTTAGATGTTGGGAAAAATCAAAAGATAAGATATTTTATATTTCTCTGTTATGATTTCAGGGATAACCGCATCAAAATATGGAGGAAACATCGCTACCAAATATATGTGATGTTAGTGTTCATTTATGGTTATTCTGTCTTCATGCAGAAGCTTTTATTGGTTTCTTTCTGCAGCAGATCAGAGTTCAGCTTGGTCAAATACTGGGTGACTAGATGTGATGTCATCCCAGTGAAGGGTGATACGGTACTCACACCGCAATGCTGACATCTCCACTTTCCTCCTTTGTCCCAGTGAGGGAGATGGTGAGCAAGGGCTCAGTCCTCTCAATCTGGTTGATGAACTGGATCCTGAACTGGTAATGATAGACTGGGAGAAAATGAGAGAGAAGAAAAAAAGAAGATGGAATGGGATGATTAATTCTGCTTAGTTGCACATTTACTTGTGTGGTACACGTTTTAAGGCTGGAAAGCCTAATTTTTTCCAACACATTAAAACCTTGTCAGTTCAAATCTTTAATATATGTGTTATCATGAATGTGTGTTACATCTATAAAATAAATAGTTAAATTCAGATGACAAATTTGCTGTTTTATTTTGTAAAATAATTATGCAAAAATTGTACTAAAACATTAAGGTAAAAAAAATCTGAAAACAAAAGAGAAAAAGTTTGGATCTTTTAATTGTAAGAGTTTCAAACTGACCAGAAACACATAAAACTTGGTTAATTGTGAAATAAATGAATTAAACTAAACCTCATTGTCAAAGATTTACCTAAATATTTTACCAAGAAACAAAGGATGTGTTTTTAACAGCATATGCATTCCATGTATGCAAAAATAAATAAATAAATAAATAAAAAATGTTCAATAATAATTCGATTTAAAATTATTTTCTGGCATTACATAATCTCTCCATAAATATTCAGGATGTATCAGTAGGAATGCAGTGTTTGGAAAATGTGATTTTATCTGTTTCCTTTCACAACTGTGAATTTTGTGAGAATTTTATTTTTAATCTTACTACAATTTATTATGATGATATTATTATAGAAATTATTGATCATGATATTGATCAATTTTGTAACTGAACAAAGTGGAAAAAAATTTTATGTTTGCACTTAACCCTCCTCTCATCCATTCAATATTCATTATTGATAAAACAATAGTTATTAAAAAAATTTGGCTTCATTTCACGACTTTTGCCAGTCTGGTGGAGTGAGCTGATTTAGAGTAAGATTTTTATGATGATAATTATTTTAGTTGAACTGTAAACAATTCTCATACACCATTTAACCTGATGGTGGTGCTAGAGTTTCATTATCGAGTGAAAATGTCTCTTTTTTTTTTCTTTCTTTTTTTTTAAATCAAGTGCCTAACAAAAATTGTATTTTAACCACTTTCTGGAGGCAAATAATCCTTTGGGGTCAAACATGGAGATCAAACTGACCCCAAACACATTTTATATAATTTTTACCCTTGGAGTCAGTTAAAGTCCCAGTAGTCATCACACACTGGTGAACTTCATCTCCACATTTAACCCATCCCTGAGGGGAGTGATGAGCTGCAGCTGTGGCCATGCTCAAGAACCATTTGGTGGTTTAATGTCAAGGTCAGACCTAGTGACGATCAGCCGGATCCAACAACAGCCAAACACAGAGAAAGTTTTAAAGAGTTTACTTAAGGACTTGTTAAAAGCGATCGGGACCAACTGGAGTCAGTTCTGGGTGGCGTGGCCTGGGAGACAGAAAACAGTCAGCGAGGGAGATGATTCAGATTCTGGGGTTTACCCCAGTGAATGAGAGGGTAGCCTCCCTCCGCCTATGTGTGGGGGGACAGGTTCTGACTGTGGTCTGTGCTTATGCACCAAACTACAGTTCAGACTACCCACCCTTTTTGGAGACCTTGGAGGGGGTGCTGGAAAGCGCTCCGTCCGGTGACTCCTTCGTTCTGCTGGGGGACTTCAATGCTCACGTGGGCAACAATAGTGAGACCTGGAGAGGTGTGGTTGGGAGGACGGCCCCCCGATCTGAATTCGAGTGGTGTTTTGTTATTGGACTTCTGTGCCAGTCATGGATTGTCCATAATGAACACCATGTTCAGACATAAAGGTGTCCATATGTGCTCTTGGCATCAGGATACCTTAGGCTGCAGCTCGATGCTCGACTTTGTTGTTGTTTTATCTGACCTGCGGCCGCATGTCTTGGACACTCGGGTGAAGAGAGGGGCGGAGCTGTCAACTGACCACTACCTGGTGGTGAGTTGGCTCAGATGGTGGGGGAGGATGCCGGTCAGACCAGGCAGGCCCAAATGTATCACAATTGGGTTGGCCTCTCAAATCTCTGGGCTGAGGTCAATGAGGTGGTTAAAAAGCTCCTCTGTGGCAAGGCTCCGGGGGTGGATGAGATCCACCAGGAGTTCCTTAAGGCTCTGGATGTTGTGGAGCTGTGTTGGCTGACGTGGCTCTGCAATGGCAGCCTCGCCTCTGTCAGACCTCCCCAGGGCAGCTGTGGCTACAAGTAGCTTACCATCACTAGCAATGTGTGAATGTGAGAGTGTGTGACAGCGTCTTTGGGTGTCTAGAAAAGCGCTATATAAGTTCAATGCATTATTATTATTAATATCGCGTTGGACTCCGCCAAGTCTGCCCTTTGTCACCGATTCTGTTCATAACCTTTTTGGACAGGATTTCTTGGCACAGCCAAAGTGTGGAGGGCATCTGTTTTGGTGGCCTGAGGATCAGGTCTCTGCTTTTTGCAGATGATGTGGTCCTGTTGGCTTCATCAGAACGTGATCTTCAGCTTTCGCTGGAGCAGTTCGCAGCTGAGTGTGAAGCAGCTGGGATGAGAATCAGCTCCTCTAAATCTGAGACCATGGTCTTGATTTGGAAAAGGGTAGAATGCCTTCTCCGGGTCAGGGATGAGGTCCTGCCCCAAGTGGAGGAGTTTAAGTATCTCGGGGTCTTGTTCACGAGTGAGAGAAAACTGGAGCGTGAGATCGATAGGCAGATTTGTGCTGCATCTGCAGTGATGTGGGCATTGTACTGGTCTATCGTGGTGAAGAGAGAGCTGAGTCAGAAGGCGAAGCTCTCGATTTACCAGTCGATCTACGTTCCTACCCTCACCTATGGTCATGAGCTTTGGGTAGTGACCAAAAGAAAGAGATTGCGGATACAAGCAGCCAAAATGAGTATTCTCTGAAGAGTATTCACCCTTAGAGATAGGGTGAGAAGCTCGGTCATTCGGGAAGGGGGGGGGGGGGGGGGGGGGGCTCCGAGTAGACCCACTGCTCCTCCACATCGAGAGAAACCAGTTGAGGTGGCAGTTCAGGATGCCTCCTGGATGCCTCCCTGGTGAGGTTTTCTGGGCACGTCCAACCGGGAGGAGACCTAAAGATAGTCCCAAGACACGGTGGAGGGACTATGTCTCTCGCCTGGCCAGGGAGTGCCTTGGGATTCCCCCAGAGGAGCTGGCCCAAGTAGCTGGGGAGAGGGAAGTCTGGGCCTTTCGCCTTAGGCTACTGCCCCCGCGACCCGACTCCGGATGAGCGAATGAAAATGGATGGATGGATGGACATTACCTCTGCCAACCTGGAAGCGGTGGGTAGTCTGGCAAGTGGAACCAAATGAACCATCTTGGAAAATCGATGAACTGTGGTGAGTAAGACGGTGTTACTTTGTGATTCTGGTAGTCCCGTGACGAAATCAACCGAGATATGAGACAAAGGTCTTCGGGGAATAGGGAGTGGATGGAACAGTCGTGCCGGATGTCTGCGAGAGACCTTGATTCGGGCACAGGTGGGGCAAGCAGAGACAAATTCTCTGGTGTCTCTATGGAGAGTGGGCCACCAGAAGGCTGACCTTACCACTGACAGAGTCTTCAAGGTTCCTGGATGAAAGAACAGCTTGGATCCATGACAAAACTGTAACACTTGAGAAACCAGGTTAGCAGGAACGAAGGAATGGTTAGCAGGACACTGAGCTGGTGGGGGGTGACTGCGGTGAGCTTGAATAAATAACCATTCTAGGGAGGTGAGGACTAACCTGGTCTTGGAGGGCAAGATGTACTCTGGTTTTTCCAGGCCAGTGGATTGGTTTTCTGTCTGGTGTTGCCTCAAGAAGGCGTCCGCTTCAGAATCTTGCTCCCAGGAAGATGGGACAATGTGAAATCAAACCTGCCAAAAAACAGAGCCCACCGAGCTTGTCGAGCGTTTAGTCTCTTAGCCCCCCTTAAGGTACTCCAGGTGCTTGTGGTCAGTCCATACCACAAACGGTTGAGGCGAACCCTCCAACCAATGTCTCCACTGCTCCAGTGCTGACGTAATAGCGAGCAGTTCTCTGTCTCCCACATCATAATTCATTTCGGACACAGAGAGTCGTCGAGAGAAGAAGGCGCAGGGATGCAAGAGATTGTCCTTGAACCTTTGCGACAGGATGGCCCCCACTCCGGTGTTGGAAGCGTCCACCTCAACTCCAAAGGCATTGTTGGGGTTAGGGATGCAAAGAATGGGGGCAGATTTAAACAATGCTTTTAGCTTGCAAAAGGCCTCCTTGGCCTCAGTTGTCCAAATAAATTGAGTTTTGCCTGAGGTCAACCGGTGGAGGGGAACTTCAACAGAGCTATAGTTCCTGATAAAATGACGGTAAAAGTTGGCGAACCCCAGGAAACATTGGAGGTCCTTGACATTGGTTGGGTCGGGCCATTTCAAGACAGCACTGACCTTAGCGGGGTCCATTCCGATCTTTCCAAGGGAAATGACTGGCCCCAGGAAGATCACTGTAGTCTGGTGGAGTACGCATTTCTCTGCCTTGACATATAGTTGATTCTGTAGTAGACGGATGAGTACCTCTCTGACATGCTTGACATGGCTCGACAGATCCTTAGAAAAAAATCAACATGTCATCCAGGTAGACGAAGTCCCGAAGGACCTTGTTGACCAAGGCTTGAAAAACCGCTGGAGCGTTGCAGAGCCCAAATGGCATGACGAGGTACTCATAATGGCCAGATGGGGTGTTAAAAGCCATCTTCCACTCCTCCCCCTCCTTCATCCGAACGAGGTGATAGGCATTACGAAGGTCTAGTTTAGTGAACACAGAACTCCCCTGTAGAAGGTCAAACACAGTACTCATAAGAGGTAAGGGATAACGGTTCTTAATCGTGATGTCATTTAAACTTCGGTAGTCAATACACGGCCTCAATGACCCATCTTTCTTCCCCACGAAGAAAAACCCTGCCCCTGCTGGAGATGATGACTCACGAATGAGGCCTGCATCTAGAGCGGCTGCCAGGTATTTGTCCATCACCTCCCGCTCCGGTTTGGAGAGGGCAAACAGACCCTCCCGCGAGGGGGAGGTTCCCGGACGAAATTCGATGGAGCTATCAAAACTGCGTTGTCGGGTTTGGGGATGCGAGGTGGCCTTGGCCTTGCTGAACACCTCGGGGGGGGGGGGGGGGGGGGTATATATTTCAGAAGATGATACAGGACTCAGTAAGGCCCCTACCTCCCTTGCTGAGTCTAGCCTTTTAACGGGCACCCAGCTGCACGATGACCAACCTCTCCACAATAAAAACACAGGTCCTTGCTGAGACGATGTTGTCTCTCCTGAACCGACAGTCTGGTCCACCCAATCTGCATGGGCTCCTCCCTCAGTGTGAGTGGTTCGGTTCTTACCGGGGGACCCGTGGTTCTTGGGGGTGGTTTCACAGAGAGGAACATGACTCAGTCTCTCTCTCCTCCATTCCCTGAGTCGTAGGTCAATGCGAGTAGCCAGTTGTTCCAGGGCTTGGAGTGACCTAGGCGAATCTCTGGCCGCCAACTCATCCTTGATTCATTCAGACAGTCCTTGATAAAATGCATCAAATAAAGCATTGTCATTCCAGTGACTACTGGACATTAGAGCATGAAAGTCTATAATATATTCCGTTACTGGTCTCACCCCCTGTTTGAGGGAGAACAAACCCCGAGCTGCCTCACGTTCAGGGCAAACTGGATCAAAGACTCTTTTTAATTCTTCTGAGAATTCTTGAAATGACCCGCAGATGGCAGCATCGCTCTCCCAGGCAGCTGTTCCCCACTGCCCGGCTCGACCTGACAGGAGAGAGATAGTGTAGGCTACTTTGGCCCGCTCGGAGGGGAAGGACGATGGCTGCAGCTCAAATGTAAGGGAGCACTGAGTCAAAAAAGGTCTGCATTGTTCTGGTTCTCCGGCAAATAGCTCAGGAGGAGGCAACTTGAGCTCCCGGATAGGGTCAACCGGAAGTCCTCTGGGAGAAGAAGCGGCGGCGTTGCTGGTGGAGTGAATAGATTTAAGGTTAGCCATTCCCTGAACAATTTCGTGAACACTGCACTCCAGAGCCGTGATAGAACCCTCTACCTTAGTACACCATTCGGTGCTTGGCTGTTGATCCATGTTAAATGGCGAGATCGTACTGTCACGGTCAGATCTAGTGACGATCAGCCGGATCCAACAACGGCCAAACACAGAGAAAGTTTTAAAGTGTTTATTTAAGGACTTGTTAGAGCAATCGGGACCAGCTGGAGTCGGTTCCAGGTGACGTAGCCTAGGAGACAGAAAACAGTCAGCGAGGGAGATGATTCAGATGTCTTAATCTGAAGAGTGCTGATCTTCTGAAAACAGCAGCGGTGCTCAGCGGAGAGGGATGCCAATGAAGGCGAGTACTCAGATTCAGGCTGGAACTGAGGCAATAGAGGGGTTTCGTGGTCAGACAGACTGAGGTCGGGCAACAGGCAGACAGACAGGTTCCGTGGTCAGGCAGGCAGAGGTCACTAATAAACAGGCAGGCAGGTTCCGTGGTCAGGCAGGCAGATGTCACTAATAAACAGGCAGGTAGACAGGTTCAAACACTCAAAGGACTTGTTACAGGGCAGCAGACAATTTCGCACTGAGCAGCAGGAGCCAGGTGCTTAAATAGGGAGCAGCACAAGTGGAATTAATCAGCTAGATTAATGCTGCTACAGGGAGACAGGAAAACACAGAGATCCAGGCATGATCATGACATTTAACCCCCCAACCCCTTTAAAGCTGAGTGTCCGAGTGTATGACCCGACCGGGATTTTAACCTCGATCTCCCACTCTATCACTAAGCCACTGAGAAGGTTGACCCCTAAAGTAAAATGTAGTAGTATTCAGAGGTGTGGACTCGAGACACATGACTTGGACTCGAGTAAGACTCGGGTCATAGTTTTAACTACTCCTGACTTGACTTGATAAAATCTATAAAGACTTATGACTTGACTCGGACTTGAACGCCAATGACTTGCAACTTGAATAGACTTGCATCTGTTGACTTGATGATGACTTGAGCATATTTGATATTTTAGCACAAAAGTGGCACTACATGGACAAAAATCATAAATCATTTTTGGTTCTGGGTTAGATCTTGTACTGCTAAATGCAGCAGCACTTTGTTTATAATCAACTTCACTTTCTGCTTGTTTGACCAAATAAATTAAGCTTTAAGAAGCTTTATTGTGCTTCTTTTTCTGTGTTTTTGGTTTGTTTTTTATTTTTCCATAAATGGTGAATCTGCAAATTTACACATTCTCTGTTTTTCATATGTTGTTTTGTTTTTTGTTATATATATATATATATATATATATATATATATATATATATATATATATATATATATATATATATATATATATATATATATATATTTTTTTTTTTCTCATATGTTGTTTGTTTAATTTAAAATTGAAAGAAAATTAAATGAATAAGAGGTAAAAATTGGGTGTAGGGACAAATAAGTAAATACTTCTGCCTACTCCTTTTCAAACAAATAATGGAATGATATTTTGTAATGATATATGTGTGAAATGTTTGAAATAAAAATAAACTGAACTGAACCGAACTGAACTGAACTTTATTTCTGGAATTTATTTGTTATCGTTGTCATTAAATTGAAGTTGAACAGATGACTTGATTATGACTTGAAAATTCAAAGTTAAGGACTTGGACTTGACTTGGACTTCCACATCAGTGACTTTGGACTCGAATTGGACTTGGTTGTCTTTGACTCTGACTTGACTCGAGACATGACTGGAAAGACTTGTGACTTGCAAAGCAGTGACTTGGTCTTGGTATTATTAGTAATAGTAATAGAAATATTTGAAGAGAATAGGAGGATTAAACGGTAACTAGGCAGTTTTGGCTTGCTTTTAGCACCCCCTAGTGTGTGTTTGTAGACCCAAAAGCAAAACCTATCTTCTCGCTGTTCGTTCGTCTTTTTAACACCTTAATCTAACAGCTGAAATGTCTCCCCAGCCTTCATTCTACAGGAGTGATTCATCGCTAAATTAAACATATCAGCTGTGATCTAAAACATGCAGGAAATGTGCTGGAGCCAGACTGAAGTTTGGTCTGTCAGCTCAGTTTTTTCCAAGTTCAAAACAGAGCAGCCCGCTCGTCTGAAGTTGCAAGCGGCTACAGGGAGCAATAGGGGCTGGGTGGCCTTTCATTAACCTTGTAAAGGGTCATTTTAGCACATACTGGCTCCAGAAAATTATTTTAAAATGTGAAAAAGTAGCAAAGTATCCCTTTAAGTCATGAAATCATGACTACTTTAGTTGAATATTTCACGTCACTTACACCTCTCATATGTATTTATTTAAAGATGATGTATAGGGTAAGGGTGTGTGCACATACGTTTAAAAGGCATCCTGGATCGTGTTTTCAGGTAAAGCTTCTTGCTTCTGCCTGTCCGGACCTTCTTGATGTCATAACCCAGAGTGTTGCAGCGGTTGCCTCTGCAGTCCAAGCAGACGCCCCGGACAAAAGCCTTGTTGTCCTTGCACATGTAGGCTCTGCTCTGCTTGTCTTTGTTCAGTAGAGAGTCAATAAACAGATGGACGGAGCGCTCGTGTGCGCATTTCACAGTTTGTTCAAAGCCTGAGTGAAGATTAAAAAGAAAAGTGACAATCTGAGGTTTTTCTTTTACATCATGGTGAGCAGATCAGGAGCTAACTTGAGTCAGATTCTTATTTATGGATTCATTATGATCAAATCTAATTCTATCTTCCTGTCTTTCTGTCACAGCACATGAACCACTGAGTCCGATTTGTGAACCCAAGGCCACATGTTACCAATTAACTCTTGTAGAAGACAGATGCATTATTGTGGTTATCACTGTCATATTATGCAGATCTGTTTTCAGTCGAGAGGCACCACTATTCCCCAGAGTCATGTCTGTGGGACTGGAGCATCAGCATAAACCCAGAAAGAAAATCTGCCAACACAAAAAAGAAAAAAGGCTTCTAAACCAGTGTTTTGATTTGGCAAGGTAGATTATGTGGAAAAATGTTGTGATATAGAGAGAGTCTGCGTTGGGCTGTAAAGAACTCATTAAGGTAAGAAAAAGTTGAATAAAAAATACTTTGTTATGAGGTTCTTTGAAAAACCTCTGAAAAAATTACAAACATAAGTTATGATAATTAAAGAGACAGTGTGTAGTTTTTAACTGTTCATCTCTGGAAATATCCATCAAAACGTTGAAAATGAATAAAATGACATCCAGCTGTAGAAAATGTTGGCTGCTTCGTAACATATAACCATAAAAATTGGTTCTAAAGTACATTGGGCGCAGGTCCAGCATCTTTGGGGGATGCCATATTAGTCGCCATGGCCCAATCTCAATACTCACACTTCCACCCTTGCGCCCTTCAATTGCACGATCCATCATGTCCACCAGGGGTGAGAGTGGGTAGTGTGTCCCGATTCTCAAGTGCGGAAGTTGATCATGCCCCTTTTGCACCCTTGATCTGCCACTTCACCCAAGTCTGCATCGATGTGGACTTGGGTGAAGGGTATTACCCACAATCCATTGCTACCGGAGAAAAGCTCAAGTTCCTTTTCTGAAAATATTTATTTTCTAATGAAAATTGTTCATTTTAGGATCACCAGTTGATGCTCTGAAACTTTTAGACAAAGCAATGAATGTTTATTTATTTCAAATAACTGTTTGGTTGTTTGTTTGAATGTTTTGAATAAAGGTTTTTAAAAACAACTACCACAGTGTCCAGCATCCCGACATGCATTGCGGTTGATGACGCAATGCCCACTTGTGCACCACACACTTGAAGCCACTCCAAGTGCACTTTGCTGAAGACCGCAGGGCGCAGTGTGAATATTGGGATCGGGCCCATGTTTCCTTCTGGCCGGCTTGGGGTCCTGCACCTGTTAATGACATCTTATGGAATTTACGTTAACACATTCAAAAACATTTAGGTTGTAGGAATTTAATAACAAAACTGCTAAACTCTTTCCAAAAACTATGTGAAAGAACAGAATAAAAAAGAGAGGCAAAATTGGCCGAGCGGTATTGCCGTAGTGTGATGACATCATCTACAGCTGCGGGACCCGAGCAGATCCAGAAACTACAGCACCAGAAAACTACAAGCATTGCATTCGCTGGATGGAATTACCTCAAGGGCTGTCAAAGTCTGAGGAGTCACGCTGAGGTTGTATGCTTTCTGCTCCACAGGTAACAACATTTACCGTAATGTTTTTTTAAAACTGGCACAGTCACAGCGATATCGTGCGAAACTACCCTGAAATGTACGTACTGCCCCCTAGTAGCAGGAAACTACACACTGCCACTATTTACCACTAAGTGTTGTAATTTTTCTTTAATGACCCGTACTTTGCAGTTTTCTGATAGTTTCAGTAATAGAGTCGTATTGAGAAAAGGATTGTTTTTATATAAATTAATCAAAAGATCAAATTTCTAATTTAAATTTAAAGATTTAATTTAAAAACTCAGTTCTTAATTCTTCCCAAAAGTTCTGAGACTTTTATGATCCTACTCATATATTTACTATCATTTTTTTTATATTTTTGAATAACCTAGACCTTCAATACATGCTTTTCATGTCATTCTCCCCATAACAATGATCCACATATTATTATTATATTGTTTTAATTTTTATAGCATTTCTACTCCTTGTGCCCAAAAGAATGCTGAAACAAAACTTTGTACGGAAATGTCACATATTTGTTCATAAGTCCCCCTTTTTCATTATTATTTTTTTTTTACATGAATTTCCTCCTTGGCTTCAGTCCTCTCAAAATATAATAAAGTAATTGTGTATTTCTGAGATTTGAACACTTTATTGCTGGGTTGATGATCAATTCAATCATTTTTTGGTGGTATATCCAAAGGCCTTGGAATGCCACTAATGGACATACAAATATAAAAAATATATATATATTTTTTATTTGAATGCAGTGTCAGTCATTGCCCTGCTATATATGAGGGAAATACACAATCTAGTGGAAAACAATAAAAACTAAATATTAAATCTGTGACTGGTCTGGGAACCCAGACAGAATAAGAATGAAAATAAAAATGCTAATATTTAGGCTCATTAGAAAAAGAAAATATGTACATGAGAGTCAATGGCACAAAAAAATGAAAAAGGAGCAGGAACGCTATAAAGTGATGCCAGTGTTGTGGGAGTAAAGGAAATTTTCTTTTTGTTTCTTTTGGTAATTCTCTTAAAATTTTCACATCTTGTGAAAAATTTAGATACATTGCGTTAGCATAGCCAAAATTATTCACCAGTGTGCAGAAAAAAATACTCACAAGGAGCTTATAAGTGTTATGTAAAGCCATGATTATCTATGCTATCGTACCAGAAATCCCGTATTCGCTTATGTGATCGTAGATGTTGTGCAGGTCACATCCCGGCTGAAAGTCTCCCCCGTTGGGGTAAAAGTCATAATGTGCCACGGCCTGCTTGATGCCCACGCTGAGGCCCAGACGCTCGTGGGTGAAGGTGTGGATGGCATCCACAAACTCTGCATCATCAGGAGAAAGTCTGTCTGTGGGAGACATGCCTTCAAACAGCGGCCCTGCAGGATCCAGGCCTGCAGAGACAGAAATACATTATTCCTGGAACTCACAGATAACATGACATGAAATTTTTTTTTAACAAATTCAGCATAACAGCGATTGAAGGAGAAATTAAACATTTGCTGTTTTTATTACAAATCTACTGTTTTGAGGTTTTTGATCATGCTACTTCTAAAGCTTTCACAGCCTTTTGGACGTCTGTGTGGAGGGTGTCAACCATCATTAATGAATACTTTACCGACGTGTCATTTGCCTTCATACTGCTGCAGTCAGTGATCTTCTAAAGCTTGGCTTCTACTTAATGTATTGTGGAAAATTTTAAACACAAAGTATTACTACAAAAACAAATATTACAATGTTGGGAACTTTTAATGAGACTGCTGTCAACCAAACTGCTCAACAAAACCTAAATAATTGTGAGATGCTCCTCAGGATGTCTTGAAACTCTACATGAGTCTCTTTTTGCACATTTCAGCTTTCTTTAGTCTCTTTATCCATTTCCCATCACTTATTTAAGATTGGGTCAGGGAGGTGACAGGTCCAGAGGGGAAACCTGAGGCAATCCTCCTCCTAATGATGCTCTCCAGCTCCTCCTGAGGGACCCTTGACCCTGATCTTCCACTCAGGTGCTATCACCCTGGTTCTACATGCAACATTAAAGACGCATGTCAGCCATGACAGCCACATTTACATCTCAGAACGAATCTCATCCATTCCTGGCACCATGGAGCTTTTTTCAGTCAAACATCCGTCATGTCCTCTTTGATCTGTTTTTTAAATTTATAATAAAGTTTAAATCATTCTTCTTTTAAAACATTTATATGTTCTATCTCCATGTTTTTACAGTTAGTCGCAACCTTATTTATTTTCACTGAAAAATTATTTTTCTAAAAAGTCATGAAAGAAAAACGCTCACCAGTTATTCTGCCAATCTTCTCAGAACCTGCCAGATTACTTCCTGCAAACCCAGATATGTGAGCGCCCAGGCTGTAGCCAATCAGATGAGCCTTTCTAAGGGAATACTGGTACTTTTCCTGTAGGGGATTTAATACAAACATTTCATTTAGGAAAGTTAGATGCACGCAGAATAGTTTATGGTGAGTTCCCATAGCGGAAATGTATGTTCTTAAACATAATTGACTTTGTTTGATGATAAAAAAATAAATTTCTTCAAAGAAAACGAAAGCCAGAGGACACCTGCAGTTTGTGCAGCAGGTGAGCGATGTCCCTTCCCACGGTGCGGGTGCTCTGTACTGCTATGGGATAATGCTGATTAGCCAATGACAGCCAGTCGGTGATCACCACATTGACGTCCACAAGGTTTCTCTTGAGACTTGTGGCCAGCTTGAGCACCCAGCTCTCCATCATTTTATCCACCTTAAAAAACAAGACAACGGTTGAAAACATCGTTTGAAATGACAGCAAGACTCATTTTTGAATGCAGCTTATCAATGAAACATTTAAAACAGATTCAAACTGTTTTAGCTATTTCCTTCATGCTTTTGAACACATTTGGTTGAGTTCTGGGTTGAGTTCAGTGAGGCATAAAGAAAGTGGGAGATGACCTTACCGACCACCCATGAGTGATGATGATGAGGGGATTACTGCTGTTGAAGCCACAGGAGGTGAGAGTTTGCAGCTGCAGAGGGTCCAGTGTGCAGGTGTCCTCACCTCCTAAAAACAGCCTGAAGATTGAGCTGCTGACATGTGGCCGTTTCACCCATGAGACACCCCCCTCAGCCGTGTCCAGCATACCTCAGAAATCAGACAGCAGCCCAGTTATCTCTTTACTCTTCTTCACTTTCATTTCAGACATTTGTGGAAACTTCCCTTTATTTTCCCACTTTGGATCTGTGGAAATTTTTAAATTAATGCACTGATTTTTTGTTTGTTCTCCCAACCACCAGACTGTAGGCTGACTAACAGATTCAATTAGTTGTGCCTTCATAAGCTGGCATCGACATCAGAAAACTAGTCGGAAATGCCTCAAAATGTGAGTTTTTCTAAACGTTTCTCTCCTAAATACTACAGATATTGATTCTTAAAGATACCTCTCCATGTTTCTTTTGTGTTTTGTAGAAAACTTCATCTAATTATAACTTTATTGTTTTAATGTTGCCAGAATTTTTTTTAATTGCAGGTTTTTCCACATAACTCATCTTCTTCTTCCTGTTGTTATTATTATTATTATTATTATGATTATTATTATTAGTAGTAGTAATAGTAGTATTTGTAGTAGTAGAAGTAGTAGTAGTTGTTGTAGTAGTAGAAGTAGTTGTTGTAGTAGTTGTAGTAGTAGTAGTAGTAGTAGTAGTAGTTGTTGTTGTTGTTGTAGAAGTAGTAGTAGTAGTAGTAGTAGTAGTAGCAGTAGTAGTAGTAGTTGTTGTAGTAGTAGAAGTAGTATTAGTAGTAGTAAAACGGCTAAATTAACTCAGATAATTTAGTTTTGTCTTAGCAGCAGCACAGCTTTACTCACATGGATATTTAATTTGTTTGTAAAACCATTAAAGCTGATCAGACAAACACTTGGATTGAGATATTTGTAAAAATACAAATTGTTTACAGTGATTACCACATTTTGTCTCAAAGGACAAAGTTTACAAATCCGTGTTGTGTAACCCAAACAACCTCGAGACAGCAACACACAGTGTTTGCATAATAATAATAATAATAACAACAACAACAACAACAACAATAATGATGATAATAATAACCACTGCAGACACAACTGCCCAGGCTTAGTCTTAGGAAGATGAAATTGCAATTTTGCACCAAAATGAACCACAAAGTGGTTTGCAGGTGGATTCTGAAGTTTCACACGAATTGAACCTTTTTTCTAAAATCTTCAAGTTTAATGAAAATCAGACCAAAAGAGGAAGTGATTGTTTTATTTTTTTCCAAATACATAATTTATTTTAGGAGAAACATAAGTAAAACTCACTGCACACCTGATAAACGACTAAAACAAATTATGATTTTGTATATTACTTTAAATGTACATTTCCAAAGCAACCGCTAAATAAAGAAAAATCTGCTTTTCAGTGCACTTGGATCTTGTTTAGACAAAATTGATGATGGAAACCTGACTTTCATCTCATTTTAAAAAAATCTGCATGAAAGTTTTGCAAAACTTTCATGCAGATTTTTTGTATGTAACATCTGTTTAGGCTTTTAACTAGCTTTATAATTGCATGTGTTTCAATATTCCTTTCATTTATTCATACAAGCTGAAAGCCTAAAAAAACAAATGATACTTTAATCCTTTACTTACCTGCCCTGTATCCTCTGATTTTCTTCCCCTCACAGAGATGATGAAATATCAGCAAACAGCACAGGATTTTGACCACAGACATGATGTCACACAAGACTGCGTGAAGATTCCTCTCAGGTGTTTTTTTTTTTTTACTTGGGTGAGTGCAGGTGTAAAAGCTCTATTAAAAAAGCTTCATTGCTGTCCTAAGTTTTAAAATGGGATCATCCTTCTTCACTGAGCTGATAGAGAGGAGCCGCCAGAAGTCACAGTTTATGGATCAGGTGGTTTTGGCCCTAACCTGATTGGCTCGTGGTGACCGACCACATTGTGAAAGAGCAAAGGTACGAGCAGGAAGGGGTTAAAGTAAAATGTGCTGATAGCAGCTGGAAGGCTGACCCTGGACTCTTTAAACAGACCCTGACCAGGCCCGCCGTACCTGCAGCAGCACCTGAGACACTTTCTCAGAATCCCAAAAGTCAAATGAATGAAATAAAATGTTTTTCTGGCGGGATTTTTCCACATTGTTGCAATAAATGTTTGAACAGTTGAAACGTAGCACTTCATGTACCCAATTTGTACAACAACAAAAAAAAAAAATTCTGATGTTTGGATTGGTCAATCAATGAGGCTGTTTGCTTAATGTTATCCAACGAGAGCTAAAACAACAAAAGTCAGAACTTTCTGAAGTTTAATGTATCTCTGCTGTCGTGTTGGGTCCCAACACAGTAAAGCCTCTGTATAACACTGAGGTTTAATCTCATCCTTACACTCCCTTACATGACAATCTTTTATTATCCTGTTCATTTTCAGTCATTTTAGCTTTTATGATTTGTGTATTTTTACACGTGTAGCCTCTTAATCAGTTTTTATTTTGAGGTTTCAAGTTCTGTCTTTACTGTAATCTCTATTTTTATACACTATGGTTTATTACTCAGTCCATGATTTTGTAGCCTCCTTTAGCTTCCTCAAAATAGCGTAGGCCACGGCAATGTTCATTCTGGTTTTGGCTCTTTGCTTTGCCTCCAAAGATGTTACTCTCTTATTTTTACTTCCAGGCTCCACCATGATGCAAACAGAAAAAGCTTTTTATTGACGATGAACTGAAAATGCTAACTGCTAGCTGCTGTAAAGCGGGTAAAGAGTGCCCCCTAGGACATCTACCCGCTCAAAAAACTTGTTGTGGTTTTTGGTCAGCAGAGGGCTGCAGAGTGATGCCAGATATGAAACTGGTCAAATTTCTAACTGAACAATCACCTAGATAAATCTCACAAGCTCTATAGTTTAAAGTTTTAAAACTACCTATTTATACACCAACTTTTGTGATTTTGCAAGAGTCAAGCTCCGCTCTCTCTTGGAGTTTCTTTTGTTATGATTATTATTAATGATTTGATTCCTACCAATAAGAAAAGAGCACAGTCACCCTTTCCCTGGATTGATTTCAAGTATCAGTTTGACAGAGGTCAGATTAGTACACAGTCATGGTCTGACACTGGTCATGGAGACCCTCAGAGTACACAGACAGAAGATGTCTGCCTTTCAGAAAGCAAAAAATATAAACAATTCATACTGAATTCAAACTTTTTAAATAATTATTTTATTGTTAATGCTAAGTGAAAACAGCTCTGATACATTCTGACTGATTCAGATGCATTGCATAGTTAAATGCAGATAAACATCTGGATAAAGAGTATCTAAAAATCTCAGTTACTTTCCCTCTATGCTACATTAAGCAAGAGTTAAAAATGCGTAATGTTTTATTGTAAAAATTTTCCTTCATTCATTCACGCAACAAAGAGCTTAATCACGGTTTTAAACTCAAAACGACACATCTGCATTTGAGCTGTTTTAGACTACAAACCCGATGACCTGGTCTGCTTTTCTGGGTAATGTGGACACGGGCGAGTGCTCTGGTTTCTGTGTGGGTGAACTTTTACAGCAGCTAGCGTCTGCCTTCATGAAACACAGCAGGGTAAATTCAACTGAGACGTGACATCAGGAGTTTATCAGTGCTTGATCCACAAATTGCACAAACTGAAAATACTATTTTAAATATGAAACTATTGAAAATGCTCAAAACGAAGCTTAAAGATAAATGTTTCTGCAGCACTGGGTCTAACCTCAGAGAAACAAGAGTCTGGTGAGCAGTAACTTGTTATAGTACATTATGAATGCAAAGTCAAAGAAATTATCCCATCTGAGGAAGAGAACGCACTGAACTGGATGTTCTCTTCATCCATTCTCCATGAAGTTACATAATAGTTCTCTTTTGCCCTGTTTGATATCTCTAATGCCTCTTTGGTTTCTTGCAGTTTGCATTGGAAATGGTCAGATTTTATCAGTAGAAATAATGGCTGAACTCTGCCCCAAACTGTGTTTTTGTTTGTAAATGTGAACCTAGAAAATGTTTAATGTTAAAGATTCTTCAAGATGCATGCGGACACAATATTTGGTGGGGGTGTTATTATGTATGAAATCACTTCAGTGGGAAAATATTTGTTTTATTTGTACAAAGCTACCTAACATAAGCTGAATTTTTACACCAAATCACACGCTTGCACATCACAAAACATCATCTCATCTCACGTGATTACACATTTAATCATCACTGCTTTTTACAAGAAAAACCCTCCCAAAAATTTTTTTTCATGCACAATTACAGATAATCATGTTTTTTTTAGATTGATGCTTGAGAAAACATTTGGAAAATTTACAAATGACAATAAAGTGTTGGATGAGAGAACGCTTAGAAATTACCTCTAAACTGAAGGGCACAGGGTCTGTGCTGGATATGCAGCTGAATTGGACGAAAATCAAACCAAATGGAGACTATCAGCGATGGACTTTAAATTAGGGGTGAGACGTGATTAAAAAAGCAATTCCCCGCCAGGACAACAGAGGGCGTAGCGCTGTTCTTTGGCATCCTGTCATGTATCGGTCCAAGATAGTGTGTTTATATTGTGGGTTTTTTTGTATATAAGAGACTTTTAACACAGACAAATTTATCTCTCATTCTCCTCCACCTCTTCATGCGCTCGCCACCTCCAAACCCATGTTTTCTGTCATTTCCGTCCACAAATAAAACGCTTGCTTCGCATCTTTTTACTCCTCCAGTCACTGGGGAATTAAGCGTTCATATTTTTAGAGTTTTTTCACGAGGTACTCTTCAAGCTTCTCCGTGTCTGCTGCTAGTTATCCTCGGCTCTTTTTATGTTTATGAGGTTGTAATTGTGCCGGTGTAGACAACAGCGGGGCCCTGACCAATCACAAGTTTGCGTTCTCCGTCTCGACAGACGGATGTTTAGAAAAGAGTGCTCGACTCCGTCGGTCCATGTGAGGGCTCTCCAGCAGGCTCGCAAGGACGGACAATGTCGTTGCGTGTCTCCGCACTGACGCAGACGTAGAAGCATGACTCAGGCTTTAGGCCCCCTATGGATGTGGAACATTGTAAATGTTGTGTACTGAACTGAACACAAGATGAATGCTTGTGTTTTACTTGATCCTCCTGCTGTAATAATGTTAATTTGTATAAAATTACAAACTGCCTGCTTACTACCAACAAGAACACATAATGGTTTTAGTTGTGTTTGTAACCCTTTTGCTAAAGGTGCTGCTTGATGATATTTATTAATACACAGGACATTAATTGTGACGCAAAATTTTTCTGGCCCCCAATTGGGGGAACTCTGGCTCAAAGAGGTAAATTCTTAACGCGTTATTCTTTTCTATTTAACTAATCATAAATAATACGTTAAAGTCCCACCCCTACTTTCAATTAAAACAAATGTTTGCCATTTTTAAAGAGGAAGAATTAAAATCCTGTGTGACTGTCAAGTAGCTAAATTAGTGCCTTGTGCATTTTCTAACCTTTGTGCTTCTGCAAAACAAAAGAGGTCATTAAAATAACATTTTAGGAACAACAGTAGTGGCATAAAAAACTAGTGCTTAGCTTATATCTGATTTTTTCTTCCATAAAAATAAAATTATAGTTTTCAAACACAATTTACATGCATAATCTGTACATTTTTGTACTTGTTTCTTTTGAATTTTAATTTATGACTGTGATCTAGTTTCTGGCTTATATCAAACCTCATGGTCTTGTGTTCTGTCTCAGTTAAAACTCAACAAGGAAATAATTCATAAAGTTTCTTTAAGGAAATTAACTCTACGACTTTCCTTCAGCTAACAAAAATTCTGTTATGGCTTTTGTTACAAAGAGAAAGGTTGTGATCCAAATTTATAAAACAGCTTTAAATAGCACAACATTTCAGAATATTGGTGGAAAAATAAGAAATACAGAGAAAAGCCAACTATTTAAGGCTGGAACATCTATACATGTCACACATAATCTATGTGATTTTAAGCACATCGAAATAATGAAATGAAAAAGATGATTTGAAACTGAAAAAAGACACAAATAAAATGATTAATTAATAACAACTATATTTACACTGTGTGCCCCATGAGCTGCTGCTTGGTAGGTTGTGGTAAGATTTACACTGTAAAAATGTTCAAATGATTTTGGTAAACCCTAAAAAAGAGGAGAAGGTTCCAGTTTGAAGGAGACTGCATAAAATGTTGCATAGCTTTTCAGCAATGCAAAAGTTATTATGAAAAGTCCAACAACAACATGTGCTCTTTTGCCAGCTATTCATAATGTTGCAAATTACAAAACCTGCAGTTTATAAATAGATTTTATTGCCTCATTGTTGTGTTTTTGAGTTTTAATACTCTGTGAACCGAGCTTTAACTCAGTGCAATAACTTCATATTTGTCCTGGACGTTGTTGTCTACTTGTCTCTCAGGTTCATGTTGGTGCAGCTCAATGAAGACAAAGTAAATCCCAGCTCCAATGGCTCCGCCCACCATGGGTCCTGCAACAGGGATCCACCACCAACAGCCTCCAGCACTGCAGACCAAAAAAGAAAAGTATTTTAAAAAACACTGAAGCATATGTGTATACTTCAGACAGAAATATACAACTTTTACCACTTTTGGGCAGTTGTTCCTGACAAACACTAAAATAGGCTTTATTTAGTTTTTAAAGACATTTTTCAAATGACATCAAAATATTTTAGTTTTATAGTATTTTATAGTAGTAGAGTGGAGCAATATTTGATTTCTTGTTTCTGATTTCATTGGTTTTTAATTTTATAATGGTCTAATTTGTCTGTCGCTGCTTCAGCTATTAGAATTTATACTTTTTTTAATGGTGAGCTTCAGTGACGTAAATACAAGCTTGAATTGTGATTTATTAAAATTTTATTTAAATAAATATATTTATTGATTTTGATATTTATGTCTCGGTTAAAGAAGACGAATGGATGGTTTGTGTAAACTTGAATATGATGCATTGAGGGAGGAAGTCTTCCCTGGGGTGGGCATGGCCACCTCTTGGGGGCAACACTGATCACACTTAGTAATGATCACAATATATTTTTAACTTTGTGTCACTATTTTTGTAAACGAGTGTGAAAAATCATTTATGATTGATAAATGATAACTTTGTGATCTGAACAGATACACTGGATATACCATTCGTAAACACTTTACTGTTGTTAAATGGATTAGCACAAAGATCAAAAATAAGACTTATATTTAAAAGGTATATATACTTAATAAAAGTAAACTCTAATTTTACCCCACTTGTAAATAAAATTTCAGACTTATTTGAATTTTCTGCATAAAAACAACATTAAAATATTTAACTGGTTTATGGTTCTCTGCTTTAGAATTCCATCTGTAAAGGTCCAATTTCCCTATCTGTGTATTCCCATTTTAATTAAAAATAAACAATTAAATTGCAATTCTCTTTTCAATTAAATCATGTATACTGTCTGCTTCCTCTGAAGGCCTCCTATCATCCTACCTGATACAACCTATCCCTGATTATGTTTAAGTCCTAAGGAGCTCTGGCTGTTGGCCGTGTGTCCACCTTTCCCCTGATCATTTAGACTCGTTTATAGGACACAGGCAAGATTATCCAGTATAGTGGGTCAGTCTGCTGGACACACCTTTAGTGGAGTTAAAAGGGTAGCTGATCAAGAGTAAACAAGCATCTGAACGTGTTGTGTGTCTCTTTTGTAGACAGGAAACAGACTGGAGGAGTGAAGCGTCTGGATTAGAGACCTAAATCTACGGCAGCAGCTAAGGTGATCAGGCCAGCAGACAGTCTCCCTCTGAGTCACAGAGATGTTGAGTGGATGAGCTGAAAAATGATGCAGTTTGCAGAAATTATCGGTGCTAACATGATGCCAGATTTTAGGCAAGATTGCTTTTATGATCATTGTAAAAGATTATTCCAGATTTATCTGATGAGGAGCTTATACATGCATTAAAGAAATCTTTGCTTTTTTTTTGCAAAATCAAACTTAACGAACCATCTGGCAGTACCTCTCTCCTCCAATCACTTCATGACGTGTTACTCTCAAACTAAATCAAGAATGCTGCTTTCAAAGCTTTTCATTTTTACTTTACACCCTTTTAACTCAGATTTGCGCTTACGCGGTCTTTCCAAAGGCACCATTATTATCCGAGCTGCGTTTTGTTCTTACTTTGACAACCATAACAGCCCATCTCAATGCCTTTAAAGCTGTGGCATGCACAGACGCTTTCAGGTTCAGGGGTTAAAAAGATTGGTCCAGTGCAGGGTCAAGGATGACGGGCTCAGAGGGCAAAGGCACAAACAGCACGTATTTACCAACGATCAAAACAAAGAGCCTGACGAGGACAACCGGAGGAAGGTGTCCCAGTCCTTCATGGATCACACCACACTTTCTCTGCAGGAATTAGAGACTAAATCGTAATGGGGAGGGGGGAGCGAGTCATTAAGACCTTCTAAAATCTTCTGAGAGATGTTAATTGTGTTCAGCTTATTTAGAACTTTTTCCTTTAATAACTTTTTAATTGAGGGTAAATAGAGTCTGCTGAGTAGGAACTAATAGTTTATATATGTAGCTTTGTTTGCATTTGGGACAAAGTCCAAAATGACAGTAAGAGAAATATGCACTTTGAATTGTTTTCCTGATAGGGAGCTTCAGATTTAGATGGGAGTTTTACAGCTACTGTCATGTAATCTGATAATTTAGACAAACGGGATCAAAACCAGTACTGATGGCAGCGATGAAGAGAATGAAGGAACACAATGGTTTCTATTTTTGGTGATAAAGTTTTAATATTTTATATTATGTGCAGGGAAAGATTCACTGTTCACTTAAAGCCCAGTTTTATAATGCGGGAAGGAAGCGCGTTGTACCTAAAATATTTATTCAGATTGTGACACAAACAGAGATTGCACTAGAAACGCTGCACTTTAGAAGTAAAAAGACAGGATATTTGGTCAAAGTTTGATTTCAAGCTAAATTAATTTGGTGCTTTTAGATAAGCAATGTCAAGAATCAGAAATGATTTTTTCCATTTTTCTAAATTATGTTTTTGTGGCTAGAAGAATTGCATCCTTGAAAATTTTGCATTTTGCGCAAGCCTTTTCTAATCTATAGGCTATTACCTGAACACCTCCATGCCCCACCCTGCCACTGCTGTGAAAAGACGCGGCCCGAGGTCCCGTGCCGGGTTTATGGGATAGCCACAGTTCAGACCCATGGAAACCCCAATGGCCATGATGATCAGTCCAATACACAGAGGCTCCATTCCTTTAGGGGCGCCGATATTCTTCCTGTCGGTGATTGCCAGAATGCACAGGATCAGTGCACCAGTTGCGATTACCTTGAAAACAGGAACATAAAGCAATTTACAAAACGCACACTTTAAAGACTATACTTGTGCAGTTTTTGTGTGTTTCAGCTTAATGCTTAATGAAAGGTCAAAAATAAAAACTAATATTCCTTAGTGCAAGTTACTCCCCCAAGCTTCTGTTTAGGCTGGCTTTAGTTGTTGTGTTTGCTTTTAAGATGTTTTCAAGTCATATCGTCTGCCGCGGTGACCTTTGCCCTGTCTTTCTCTAAGCTTATTACCGGACCTTTCCCCTAGTTTCAGTTTAAAAAGGGCAGGAGGCCTTACTGTAGATATAACTTGTAGATAATAATTCATATATTTCTGTCCATGATTACAGATCCAAGTTTTGACTGTCTGAATAAAACAGAACGTAACAGAAGGAGAGAAGACAGAGACACATTTCCTCCCTTTTTGGTGATTTTTTTTTTTTACAAATTAGAGAAACAAAACCGGAATTCAGCATACCACAGAATCTTTTAAAAATGTGTTTAAATATAATCCCAGATTTTCCTAATGTGTAATCAGAAAAACAATTAGGTAAGTTCAGTTTCTTTTTATCAGTCAAAACATAATGCGCTTGGAAGCTCACCTGATCAACAAACCCGTTGAGAACAGAGAGGTGTTTAGCAGGATAAGATGCAAAGATGTTAGCGGTGGCGTTTGCACCAATAACTTCAAACTGTCCGTTGGTGTGGTCCATTAGAGCATCTGTGGAGAAGAAGTTTCACAAAATCAACACAAAAACATTTATTTAAATGCAACGCTCGTGCGCGTGCACACACACACACACACACACACACACACACACACACACACACACACACACACACACACACACACACACACACATACTGTATGCTCAGCATAAATGAGTACACCCCGCTACATTTTGTCAGAAAACCTTTAGTTTCCTTTCAGAATCAACATTTTCAATGAGATACCAAACTACTAAATACTCCCACAGATGTGGCCCATTGATTGCAAACCAGATTTGTTCATTTGCACACAAAAGTCATTTTCTGAACAAATCCATTCAAGCCCATGTTGCAAAAAGGAGTACACCCTATGTATGGTCTTACAAAATTTGAATTAACAGGCATTCAACCACAGGTGAGTCTAATGATTCATTGAAGAGGTGTCCAGCAGACAGGTGACTATAAAATGGCATTGCTTAACAAAGAAAAGCCCTTCCCATTTCATGCTGTCAGCAATGGCTCCCTGTGGAAGAAATATCACAAATTCTGAGAAAGAAAATAATATCTTCACACAAAATAAGGGGCTACAAGAAGATCAGCAAAGCTTCACATATCAGTCAAAATACTGTAGCAAAGGTGATTCAAAAACTTAAGAAAGATGGAAGTGCAACCATCTTACAGAGACGTCCAGGCCATCCACAGAAGTTAACATCTCAACAGGAGTGTCTACTGATGGGAAAGGTTGAAGAAAATCGCCAGGCAAGTTCACTGCAGTTAACTAAAGCAGTAGAAAGCCAATCTGGAGTGACCGTTTCCCGTGACACGACACTTCACACTGCAGAGGAATGTCATGCATGGGTATCGTCCACGAAGGAAGCCTATCCTAAAGCCCATGCACAAAAAAGCATGCCTAGGGTCCATGCTGAAAGAGATGAAGACTACTGAGACTCTATACTCTGGAGTGATGAGACAAAGATCACTGTTTTTGGAACTAATGGTTTTAAAACTGTATGGCATCATAAAGGTGAGGATTCCAAAGAGAAATGCATGGTGCCTACAGTGAAGCACAGTGGTGGCGGTGTCCTTATGTGGGGCTGCTTGAGTGCTGCTGATGTTGGGGAGCTGCATTTCGTTGATGGTATCATGAACTCAACAATGTACTAACTGCTCTATACTGAAGGAGAAGTTGCTGTCATCACTCCGTGCACTTGGTCGTCGTGCACTTTTCCAATACAACAATAACCCAACACACACATCTAAAGCTACTGTTGCATTTCTGAAGAAGAACACGGTGAAGTTGATTGAAGGGCCAAGTATGTCCCCTGATCTGAACCCAATCGAACACCTGTGGGGAATTCTGAAGTGGCATTCCATCCAGCATCCAGGCTCTTAAAGAGGTTATTCTTGAAGAATGGAAACAGATAGAATCAATATGTCACCAACTTGTTCATTCCATGACTAGAAGACTTGGCGCTGTCCTTGAAAATCATGGTGGTCATACAAAATACTAGATGCAGTAGTTTTTGTTGTGGGGTGTATTCATTTTTGCTTTAACCAATTTTAGTAAAACTGAAGGTTTTGTGATCTATTATTAATGTTAATTTCATGTTATGGAGATAAATAAGTGTCCAATAAAATTTAGGAAAATGTGAAAATTCTGGAAGTTGTTATTTTGTTCATTGAGCTACTTATTAAATTTGTAAATTTTAAACCGGGTGTACTGATTTATGCTGAGCACTGTTTATAGGTATATTGGGGTGGGACTTGATTAACAAAATTAATCTAATTAATTAGAGACTTTGTAATTAGTTCAGTTGATTAATCACGTTTATTCGCTCAAGACAATTTTCCCCCAAGCACTTTTTTTCAATAAAACTTAATTTTAATGAGGCGCAGATGACACACTCACACTTTACTGAGCATATTTCTGTAACCACAAGGTGTGTTTGATTCCTTTAGTCTCATTATAAAGGTAACTGTTGTGAGATTTGCTGGGATGTGTAAATGTTAGTATTAAATGAAGTATACATGGATATGAAACATTGTAAATGTTGTGTACTGAACTGAACACTAGGTGGCAGCACTGCTGATATGAGACATGTAGAGTAGAGTTCAAGCGATGTTCTGCTGCAAGGTGAATGCTGCATGTATGCCTGTCCCTCCTGCTTTAATAAGGTTAATGTAAAGTTACTGCCTGCCTGCTTATTTTAGGTTTACTCACCATAATACAACACAAAAACAGCACAGGACCCAGCAAAAGCACCCAGGAACTGTGCCACCACGTACACGGGAAACTTCTTCAGAGGTAATTTCCCCAGAATCACCATGGCCAGAGAGACTGCAGGGTTCACATGAGCTCCTAAAATGAATCAACCAAAACTTGAGTGAAACCAAAAAACACCCAATACTTACTCACTTTTCTTTACAAATGAACTTTGTGGTCTGGAGGTCTGGCTGCCCGAATCAATTTGCTATTATTCCAAGAAGGATGCATGGCTTCAGAAGTGGAATGCAGCCCTCATCAATACCCCTGCGGTCTGTGGTGAAACAGGTCTAAAATACGAAAACAAATTCTAAATGTCTTCATGTTTCTATTCTGTCTACAAGGTTGTAACTAGCAAGGAAAATAAGTTGTTTCCATAAGATAAACAATACCCTTTATAACTTTTATACAACATCCAAATGAAATGGAAACTTCTACAATCAATCATTTTTCTGCCCAGATGAGGTGCGCACCAAATTTATGCAATCTGTAGAAATCTTTCTCCTTCCTCCTCTAAACAAGCTTTCTAGTTTTGTTTGACTTCAGGTCTGTTTTAACCTAAAGCTGCGTGACGAACACATTCCAGCCAATTGTTCCAGGGCTGCGATGACAGTGTGAGGTCATTTATTTAACACTCTGGGATCTTGGCTTTGACCCTGATGTGGTAAAACCACTGGGGGTATCAGCCATGCGCCCATTGTTAATCTCCCCATCCTGTTCATAAACACTGACCACGACAAGCAGCCAGAACTGCCCGTCTGAATTGCATCTGACATAATCTGCCTGAATCTGCTTAAGGCACATGTAGACTGCAGGTCATTAGAGTGGCCATAATGTGTCACACTTTTGGTACACTGTCATCTAAAATCTGGAGACTACAAAGTGAAAACGATTGTGTTTTCTTCTCCTATGGGGCCGGGCTGGTCACACCTGACCCCCCCACCTCGTCTCCACGGACCCATGCCCCTGTAAAGCTCATTAGTCCAATACCTATGATCATCTTCAGAGATGTCGTTGGACAGAAGCTTCCCACTGAGCTGTGGACCCCTGGACCAAATGGCCCAGTCATGCAGAAAAAGCTCCTCAGATATTAACCTTCCTGTCCTCAGGCGTTTCTACTCGTCTTCTGAAGTCTTCCAGCTTCTCACATTAAAGAAATTGGTCACTGAATGATCACAACAACCATCTTCAGCAAATACAGACGTGGACAAAATTGCTGGTACCCTTCGGTCAATGAAAGAAAAACCCACAACAGTCCCCGAAATAACTTGAATCTGACTAAATTAATAATAAATAAAAATTCTACGGAATTTTACCAATGAAAATCAGATATTGCTTTAAACCATGCTTCCGCAGGATTATTAAAAAAATAAACTCATGGAATAGGCCTGGACAAAAATGATGGTACCCTTGACTTAATATTTGGCTGCACAGCCTTTTGAGGCAGTCACTGCAAACAATTCCTTTAACTGTCAGTGAGACTTCTGCACCTCTCAGCAGGTATTTTGGCCCATTCCTCATGAGCAAATTGCTCCAGTTGTCTCAGGTTTGTAGGGCGTCTTTTTCAGACGCCATGTTTCAGCTTCTTCCAAAGATGCTCAATAGGATTGAGGTAAGGGCTCATAGAAGGCCACTTTGAGTGGGTCCAATGTTTTCATCTTAGCCATTCTTTGGTGTTTTCGCTGTGTGTTTTGGGTCATTGTCCTGATGCAAGAAACACGACCTGCAACTGAGACCAAGCTTTCTGACACTGGCCAGCACGTTTCTTTCTAGAAACCCTCAATCTTCTTGAGTTTTCATTGTACACTGCACAGATTCAAGACACCCTGTGCCAGATGCAGCAAAGCAGCCCCAGAACATAACAGCGCCTCCTCCATGTTTCACAGTACGGACAGTGTTCTTTTCTTGATAAGCTTCATTTTTCTGTCTGTTAGCAAAAAGTTAAATTTTTGCCTCATCTGTCCATAGAACATTCTCCCAGAAGCTTTGTGGGAAACATGTAGTTTGGCATATTCCAGTCTGGCTTTTTTATAATTTGTTTTTAACAATGGTGTCCTCCTTGGTCTACCATGTTGTCCACTTTGGTTATTACAACTATGGATGATGCGATCCGACACTGATGTTCCTTGAGCTTGAAGTTCATCTTGGATCTCTTTAGAAGTTTTTCTGGGCTCTTTTGTTATCATTCATTTTATCTGTCTCTCTGATTTGATTTTTCCTCTTGTGACCACGTCCAGGGAGGTTGGCTTCAGTCTCGTAGATCTTACATTTCTGAATAATATGTGCAGCTACAGTCACAGGAACATCTAGCTGCTGGAAGATGGTCATATAGCCTTTACCTTTAACATGCTTGTCTATAATTTGATTCCTAATCTCCTGAGACAACTCTTTCCTTTGCTTACTCTGGTCCACGTTGGGTGTGGAACACACCATGTCACCAAACAACACATGAAGCCCTATATAGCAGGCCCACTGACAGGACTGTAGACAGATGTGATGCTAATTAGTGAACACACCTTGACATAACATGTCCATTTGGTAACATTAATTTTGTTCTTTTCTAGGGTACCGTCATTTTTGTCCAGGCCTGTTCCATGAGTTTTTTTTAATTGTTCCATTGATGCATGGTTGAAAAGTAATCTCTGACTTTCATTGGTTACATTTCTTAGAATTTTTATTTATTACTACTTTTTTCAGATTCACGTTATTTCTATGATCTTTGTGGGTTTTTCTTTCATTGAATGACCATTGACCGAAGGGTACCAACGATTTTGTCCATGTCTGTGAATCAAAGTTGAATCTTTTAGTAATGTAAATATTTGCTCTGAACAGTGATGAATTTTCACAAATGCAACATATTAATAAAGTTTCTCCGTTTACTGACAATTAAAATATGGCACAGGAAGTCAGGCAGAAGAGTACGTATCATGCAAATCTCATCTTTTGCATCTTTTTGTGGTGCCATGTGAGTCTCTACTGCCTCTATAAAAACTCCAAACATAAAAGCCTCTCCAACTGTTTTTGTAAGTAGAATAGTGTAGTGCAGTATGCTTTAATGTGAAGGCTAGTTTATGCTTCTGCGTCTGCATCAGTGCGGGACATGCAACACAATCATCCATCCTTGCGAGGGCTCTCCAGCAGGGTCACAAGGATGGACACAGTTGAGACCAGTTTTCTAAACATCCGTCAAATGAGGCGGAGAACTCAAGCTTGTGATTGGCCTCGATGCCACTTTTGTTAACAGCACCACCATTGTGCCCTCAAAGATACGCAGCAAGCATTTTATTCGTGGATTGAAATGATGGGAAATGTGGGTTTAGAGGTGGCGAGCATATGAAGAGGTGGAGGAGGTTGAGAGACAAATTTGTCCATGTTAAAAAGTATCTGAAATACTGAAACACAATATAAACACAATAGTAAATGCACTATCTTGGAGCGGATACATGACATGGTACCCCAGAACAGAGCTAGGCCCTCTGTTGTCCCGGCAGGGAATTGCTTTGTAACCCTTCCCAGGAGATGGAGACGTACAAGAGCAAAACCTCGCGTGTGCGTCTCTCCTTGTGGAGTTGACGCAGAAGCATAAACTAGGCTTGACAGATCCCTGAAACGGCTCGTTCTGGAAGGTACTGAAAATGTCAAGAATAAAACTGTTGAAATCACTTTATGTGAGAGGAATTTGGTGCAAAAAACTCACTGCATTTTAGTATTTCAAATTTTAGTAGGTAACAATATAATAACAGCAATTCAATTACACTTACTTAGTTAGTTTCAAAATATAACTAGTTTGTAAACAATGCATAATCTGAGTTATCAATCCCAGGAACAGCATGAAAACATCTGTCTCTTTTCAACATCAGATCAATGCATATTTGCTTTGGTTCCACATCTGGCATTAGGTTAAATTATCACAAAAAATAATTGCTTATTAAGAGGCTCTGGGGGCCACAAGGGGGGTCCAAGCTTGCAGTCAGGGTGGCACTGGCCCACCTTGGAACCCCCTAGAACTGCCCCTGTTCAAGAGAAATTTTGTGAATTCCAGGTGCACATGCAAGCCACTTTTACCTGAAACTCCCCCTGCCATGTAGACAGCCATCATGACCCCCAGAGTGAAACCAACGTGGATGGTGAGCGGCTCTCCCAGAGCACCTTTGCTCAGCACAGTCTGGGCCACTGCACCGCAACCAAAGAGCTGGGACACAGACAAAAACACAGAAAGTGGCGATAGAAAGGCTCATTGTTTTTGGTCATTCCAATTAAATTGGCCATTAACACCAGCCCTCTTGTCCACAAACAGCCTCCGACAGACAATTTGCCCAAGCTGGAGCTCAAAACAATATTCAATCCCTCACTTATTCTGTAAAAGGCTCGAGTAATCTAGAGGGGCTGAGTAAGAAAAAAAGTGTTGTGGGGAGAACAGTCATCCAAAAACTAAAAAAGGCTTGTCGTGGAAGCCGTATCACCATCTGATGAGCCGTCAGGGGCATTAAAATGAACAGGTGGAGCTGAAAGCCTGCAGGTGCACGGAGGTCAGGTCTCTGCAGACAAGAACCTCAGAAGGACTGAAAGCTCCTTAAAACTATTCAAATTGTAAGAAAATAATCCACTTCTGTTCAATAGGTACTGCAATAAATGCATTTTATTCATTTATTATCTATCTCATACAACTATTTCAGAACGTATGAGACGTTTTGGGACAGAAATGTTTAATTGAGTCATTACATAATTCATGTCAAAAAGCTGGATGCATCAGTCACATCTTGTCATGATTTCTTCAGAGACTGTCAGGAGCAGATTACAGCTGAGGACATGAAATAATCTGGTAACAGAGCAGTTTGACATATTATTAGCAGCCTGGCGGACAGCTTTAGAGCGGCTGTTTAAGCTGCTGACAGGTGCAGAGGGAGCTACTCACTATCAGGACAAAGATCCCCAGAAATTCCGCCAGGAACTCTTTAAAGATGTTCTGCCTCAAGCCGAACTTCTCCTTCATCTTCCTCCTGCTCTCCTCTTCCATCTTTTATGCGCCTTCTTAATGTGCTCCTCCGGCCACAACAAACAGCAAACAACTGGGATGGAGTCCGGGCGCGAGAGTCGGCGCAGGCTGTCACCTCCCACTCATGGAGCGGCACAGAGCGGGCTGACGGACGCGCTAATCTGCGTGTGTTTCCGTGCGTAACCACAAGGGGTCCACTTTTTATTATCACTAGTGGGTCCAGATCCCCACACAAGGTTTAATCCTGAAAACAACACGGAAAGCTCAAACGCTCTCAATGCTGAGAGACATTAGAAAACACTAAAAAGAAGAGGGTTGCTTTTAAATTTGGAGATTAGATTGATTTTAATTAAAAGGTAATTTTTTAAATGTGTTTTGAGTTCAAACTATTTTTAAAACTCTGAAAAAAAGTAAAATAATCAAAAATGTAATAAACACGAATAAGTAATTTTTGGGTTTTTGTAATTTCTATTTTTTAATAAAAGCCACAAATCATAAAATTATTTTGTATATATTATTTTGCATATCTGTTTTAAGAATACTAGTATAACTACAATCGAATAACAATATTGTTTGAAAATTAATAAGGGAAAGAACATTTTGTTGTGCTACAACTTCTCAGATTGATATAGGCTCTCTTTTTGCTATTTTTAAGTCAACATATTTTCCTCCTTGTTTATTATAGACGACTGAGCTCCAGTATTTAGTATTTCCAATCAAAAAATATTCCAGTCTTACTTTTACATAAGATATAACATAACTTACAGAAAACAAAATGTCCAAACCACCGTTTTAAGCTAAGAATACACATCTCTACACAAATCAATTACAGATTATTAAATGAGGCCTCGTAAAAAATCTATGTTTGTCAAAATTATAGTAGGACGCTTTTTAGTTCCTGTATAATAAAAAATTGCACGGATGTTGTTTTCTATTTCTCACAAGTTTATGTTGTTTAAATCCAAAAATAAAATCATGTCCACTTTGGGCACAGATTTAGAGTCCATGTTATGGGAAATCCTGTATTTCTGCATTTTTTACATAGTTTTTTTGTTTGCATCATCCAAAAATAAAATAAACCCCTTCCTGTTGGTCACACCTGCTTGTTTTCAGCTTCTGTAAGCATCCAGCGCGTTGGATATCCAAAGCTCTTTAGTGTGAGGAGGCTGCAGCGTTCGAGGCTCTCTCCTTCCGACAGAGGGAGCTCCATGAATACATTTGAAGTTGGTCTCTTATCTTCCTTTTGCTTTGTGAAAAGGTGAGGCGACAGGCTGAGGATGGGATGCTTTGAATGCATTAATCAATGTCAGGTCCTCTTTGATGTGAAGCAGACGCTCGGAGAGTGTCGCGCATGCTGTGAAAAAAGGTTGATGTGCTGATGGAGAAAAAACATCCTCCGGGTTGCCCCCCACCCCCCCTTTCTGTTAATGATGGAGCTGCATCTGTCTGCAAACTCTTTGTCTTGTCAAAAGGCCGAGGTTATGAAATCTGAAATTTAGAAAGGCAGTGCCCAGGATATTGAATTAAAGCTTCTGGCTGCTTCCTGGGTGATTTCGCTGACTGGTGAATGCATTTGCGTGGATTTACTTTAAATCCTCCAGTTTTTAGGAGACAAGCTGCGCTCACGGCTATTTTTACGAATGTTTATTGGGCTCTTTTAAAAGGGAGACGCTGGGAGGAATTATCACCTGCAGGACAAATCTGTGCTAACAACACCCCAGCAAGCAGCAGCAGCAGCAGTCCCTGCTGTCTGCATTTGCATAACATCTCACACCGTGGGGAGGTTGTGTCAGGCAAATAAGCCCAGAGGGTGATGGCGAGCTGAAAGGGCGCGTGACACTTTTATGCCACTTGTAGGAAATAGTTGATGATGAGTTCTGATTTTTACGCATTTGGATGAAAGGCGAGCACTAACTTGGGTTCACAGTTGATCTATATTTACACCAATATCTGCATGAACTGTGACGTGTATTTTTTCGGAATATGTTTTTAAGAGTTTGAGAACAAATGAACCTATTTCCATATTCCTCAATTAAAGCTGCCATTAAAGTTTGTTAATGTGCTCAAAAGGTCTTTGGATGATCAGTTCCAGAAGGTTCTGATGATATACCGGACGGGGTGGATATTTGTGTATGTAAAACTATGAATAACTATGTAAAAACGAGTCAAACTGTCGGTGAGTGAAAGGAAAACCGGCTGTGTAAGGGGTGGGTGGTGGGTGTTCCTCCTCCTTCACACGCATGGCTGAAGTCGTTTATGTAAATGCTTGAATTTAATTTTCAAAAGGACAGCCTTTCTTTCGCTTTGCCCAATGAAAATGAGCTGCAGCCCACACCTGGCTATAAACCCAGGAAGGAACCCAAAGCCCTAATCAGAAATCTACTGGAAGAAGGAAAAAAAAACAGAAAGAGGCTGAAGCGAGACGAGCAAAAGAGGCAAACACTGCACGAGCGGAGTGATGACTTCCAGTGAGATCCAGATCCCCGGAGAGGTGAAGAGCGACCCGGCCGCGCTCATGGCATCCCTCCACCTGATGCCCTCACCGGTGCCCAATCCGGAGATCAAGCACACAAAGGTCTGTTTCTGTGCGCGCTCCGAGCGGGACGCTGCTGGCTCTCCGCGCTCGCGGCGGCGCAGTCTGAGGTCGGAACTCTGAATCTGAACTTTACTGAGTTTGTCAGGTCGGGATCCAACAGAGCATAGCAGCTTTACACCAGTTTAGGCTCCAAACTCCACTGATCCGCTCCAGTGTCAGTCCGCGCGCAGCTCGTCGGAGTAATCCCTGCGCCTGCACGTGCTCGGCAGCTTAAATCACCCTTAACTCATAAAAAAGGTTAATTTAATCCTCAAAATGAACTCTTTTAAACACTTTTCTCATCATTTTCATATCGTGAGTCATTGCTCGTTTTATCATCTTATTATAATAAAATCAGATAAATGATTTTGTTTATAGACTAAATCAGCTGTAAGAGCTCAACAAATGCAGAATGCTCGAGGTTAAATACACTCTGGAGTAAAGTGCTGGTAAAAATTTACAACCTTAGTCACGTGTTTTTATTTATTTTGTTATTTTACACGAAGTCAGGACAGTAAACCAATTCATAAAACTGCATTTTATGGGACAATTAAAAAGTTATTCAAGGGACACGTATTTAAAGAAAAAAGGCTTTGCTATGAATGTAAGTGCTTTTTTATAATTTTCATTCACTTCATTAAAAGCTTGCAGCTATAAAAGGCCTCAGTGGAAAAAATAAACAGAAGCAGCCAAAAATCCTCCCTTTCTGATCTCACTGCATTCACTATTAATTTCTGATGGCTGCAGTTCAATTTTGTCAAATAATAGCTGGAGCTTGTGATTTAAAACAGATTTTGTTTCATTATTAATGCAGTTAATTAATCGTTCTGGATTAAAGCCTGCATGATTTTGTGAGTTTGTGCTGAGGCTGCTGGAATAACAACATCAGTTAAAGTTATTTAATTTATTTATAATTCAAATCCTATAAAATATAACCAAACTATAAGTTTCTGTTTTGAAATGAATGAAAACACTCAAATATCGATTTATGTCAACCCTGCAAATCACAACTTTTTGAATTTCTGCAATTATTATTTTATAGGTCTGAGGTCTCTTCATAGCTTTGTGTCGCCTGCTGCAGCTGGTTGCCACTGGGGCGATCCTCCAGCACAACAAGTGTTTTTATGATTGCAAGACAAAAGGGCACATCTCCTAGAGGATAGATTAATGCTAGTGTGGTGGAAGTTCATGCACTGTTGTAATTGCTCCATGTTAGCGCATACCTCAGTGTTTTGAGAGCAAAGGCCGCGCCGCTGCTCTGCACACTGAGCGTGTGGCACATGTTGGAGAGGCTCAGAAAGTTTTCCTTTCCCTCGCGGTGCACAGAGCTAGATGAAGAGGTGAAAGCGATGCCGTACAGGAGGATATTTAGGGAGCGACTTGGTGAATTAACCACCAGGAATTTGGATCATCCAGTCCCTGTTGGTTTGGTGGACACGGGGGGCAGAAGGGCCCTGATTTATGGGCACCCCTGGCGTGGGCTCTCCTCACACCCCGTTCCTGAACTCCACCCTGCTGACTGCACGGGAAAGCAGCGCTGCTCAGTCAGATCTGCCTGTTTCTTAGCGTTACTCCTCTGCAGCATTTTAAGCTTTTGTGAAACATTATTAGTTCAGCAATGCACGGATTACATCAGATGACCCTGGAAACAGAGATACGGCTGATACATTATCACAACTTTGCCCCTTGTTCCTTCTCTAAGTCTTGGCCTGCTTTCCTTTCAAAGTCACAAACTACGACCGACAACTCTTCTCTTTGTTCTGTTCTTAAATATTTTGAAGCATAATACTCTTTAGGTGGAATGTTTTTTTCTGCAGATGCTCCATCACCAGCTGTTAAAGTTTAGTGGAAGCACAAAGAGAGACATAAATAAGAGAGTGCTGATAACAGTTTATTACTATTATTATTATTATTATGGAGAGGGTTTGTTCTCCCGCTCTTCTGCAGCATGTGACACGTTTGGCCTTTGTAGTTCTTCACACTGTTCAGTGATAATGAGTTGTTAAATCAGACACTCGGTGGGACGGATTTAACGAGAGGGGAAATAAAAGCCCAGGTTTTTGCAGCTTTTTGCTCCAGAAGACAAGTCTATAAAATGCCCTTTTTTTCTTCTTTTTACAGCTTGTGGGTTTAAAAAAGTTGCTATTTTATCTTGTTGTAAAACTGCATTTTGAAAACTTTTAAACGTCAGCAAACGAGTGCCTTAAATGGAAGGATCGAGAAAAAGCTATAAAATGTCAGATTTATGGATCCCTGAATCTAATCAAAAGTTATAAATATTCTTTGTTGTTTTGCTCATGGTGCCACAAGTGCTCTCTCACCGTAGGAACCTGCAGAGGATCCACGACTTCAGGACTTATGTATTTGTAAAGCCTACGCAGAGGTGCCTCAGTTTGTGCGAAGAAGAAGCTCCATCAATCTGTCACTGATTGAGATAGTACAGATGGAGGCTCGGGGCTCCCCGATGCTGAGGTGCTGTCCACCGGGGTGTAAATTATGATCCTGTCTCACTGTGTGGGTTAGTGGCCCTGCCTTGCGAGAGCCTGACCTGTAGTCCTGGAGTTTTTCACTTCAAAAACACCATCTCACTGCGATCAAGATCAAACAGAGCCAAAGTTAGAGGATCTTGTGCCGCTCAATGATTTATCATGACCAGCACAGCCACAGCCCCTCCCTCTCTTGTTTTGGCTCTTCTCATACAACCTCCTTGTTTGCACACACATGGCCACATACCACACATCTCTTGGATAGTGACAGGGCAAGTGTGCACTGCCATTAATGTGTCCGTTGGTGTGAAATGCCTACTTGTTCAGTGAGTGTAAATTACCATCTTAGCAGAGGCGTCAGCATCGTGTCCCCCGTCTCTTAATCACTGTTTAAGGAAGAGCAGTGACAGCGAGGTTGCCCCGTTCACTTCCTACACCTTCTGTGTGCAACCCCTCCAGACAAAGAACGTGTAAATCCTTCTGATATCATTATAAAAAACTCAGCTCCATAAATCTGTTGGAACACAAGAGCCGACAGACACAAAAACACTTTGCTCAACGTGTACTTGTGTGTGGGTGGGGGGAAAGCATGACATTTCTTTATAAATTGCTTCCTCCATGTCCACGGATCCCCTGAGTAAAAGTATGTAAAAATTCTCCTTTTGACCTGGTTTTAAAGAATGGTAAAGTACACAGGAAACATGTCAAACCTAAAGATTGTAAAAAAAAAAAAACATCTGTAATGTGAGAAGAGCAGATTTCTTTGTTGATTCATGGAAGTGGAATTCGTTTTTTTTTTCCTGAGATTGTAGCTAAGAGCTGAAATCAACGTCTAAATTAATCCAAAGTAACTTTAACTGCAAGTTTATAATCCTGCATTTGTTTCTGCACCATGGTTTTGGAGTTGCCCACACATAGTGGCCAGAAAAAGACGTCTGCCAGTCTGTGACAGGGAGGTCGCCCTCTCCGAAACGCGGGAGTGCAGGGCGGCATTGTCTGTGGGTGTGTGAATGAAAAACATGAAGGCTCCATGGTGTCAGACATGGGAAGAGAAGCAGGAGGAAAAAAAACACCAGCTGGTCTAAACTTTCACATAGTCTCCCCACTAACAGTAGTAATTATCAGAATCTTGAAACCAATCCAGATGCAGAGAGGAAACAGCGACAGGGGAGGATATGCAACTTCCTGCACAGACGATCGCTGAACTGCTTGTAGGACTTGGCTTTCTGGAATGTTGGCGTGTTGTGTTTAAACACACACACGTACATAAGCCCTCTCTCTCTCTCTCTCACACACACACACACACACACACACACACACACACACACACACACACACACACACACACACACACACACACACACACACACACACACACACACACACACACACACACACACACTTCTTTAATCCTGTCACTATCCTTTAAAGAGGAGGCTTTACATTTTCCTTCAGCCGTTCACATCTGAGCTCTGGGAGCCAAACAGATGTTTTGTTGGCAGCAGAAAGTATTTTGGCATCTTTAACTTCCTGTTGCAGGACACTTAGGAGGAAATTGATATATCGCATAAACTCTTTGGTTATTTTATGTGTGTTTATGTAAGGAAATGGTGCACTGAGGAAAATATGAGTAAAACTTTGTAACGCATGTGTTTTACTGAAGCCACGATGACGCTTAGAACAGATGATTTCACTGGCTGCTTTTACAGAGAGGCAAAGGTGTTGCTGAACATCTGCAGCTGTTCTGTGAACCAAGCAGGGTTTTTTTGTCCTAAATTTTAAAACTCAGCTTCCTCCACATCAGATCTCCATCAAAACTTTTCAAATGCAGAAAATACAGAAAGTAAAAGGGAATAAAGCATCTTAGTAAGGATTCTAGATGCAGAACTGAGACGCAGGAGGGACTTTCGTAAACGTGAAACTATTATGTGGAGCGATGGTGACGGCCCGCAGGGAAAGGAAAAGAAAAACACCATCAGTCATTTGAAAATGTGCACCCTTGCACTTGCTTTTTCATCCTAGCTTTCTTCGGCCCTCGCTCAAATGATCCTAAAAGTAATTTTAAGAATCCTTGAGAGTTGATTTACGACTCGAGCCTGTCATCTTAATCAAGTCTCTGAAAGGAACGAAACAAAAGTCTTAATACCAGTCTGAGCTCAGCGAGAGGGCCGAGCCAAGCGGCGGCTGACAGTTGTCCTTTTCTGGCCGTGATTTAGGTGGGGCCTGCTCCGCCGCTTTCACGCTTTACCCCCTCTCCTTTAGCAGCGTCCAGTGAGAGGGGTTAAAGCTACCCACGGTCTGCATTCTTACTCAGGCCGTTCTGGCTGTCAGGGGGCTCCTCTGATTTAGGGTGCCCCACTTCAGTGGCCCCCATCAATTTAAAAACTAATTCAGTGCTCTGCAGTACTTTCTGTTTTTGCGGCAGACCCTCTTCTTCTTATAGTTACTGACAATTTTATGAAGTGCTCCTAATGAGCAGCAGATTAAAGGTGGCCTCTGATGGAAGGCATGTGAGAATACATGGGCTGTTAGGGAAAGAGGTCTCTAGATGTGTGTGTGTGTGTGTGTGTGTGTGTGTGTGTGTGTGTGTGTGTGTGTGTGTGTGTGTTGACCCATCCAGAGGATTCATAGAGGAATCTGTCTGGGGAGTGGTACAGACAGATACCAAAACCCTCAAGTATCTGAATGTGAACTGACTCCTCACAGAAATAATAAATGATAAGTTGTGTTTCCAACTTTTTACTTTACTTTTTTAACATTTTGCACCATCCTGAAAGTAAACAGACGAGTTTATAGCCAATTAAATAGCACGTAAAGTCCAGCGTTTATGAAGGTAAACATGTTGGAGAGTTTAGGGAGGCTCGGGCCAGTGGGATACTTGAACCCTGCTCTCAGGTTTGCACCGGAGTAAAAGCCCGGTAAGAGCTTGTGTATACACAGAGGGGTTTGTGCCAGCAGATGTTCTCCTTACACTCAATCTATCAGACAGACTGACAACCATTAAAAACAGTGTGTGAGCAGCGGTCCTAATGAATCCAAACATGCCACCGAGGAGGGAGAATTTTGTTGCTCTCTCAACAGACACACCTCGCTCAGCCTCCTCATCACCGCCTGAAGGGTTTTGCTTACATAATTCTCACATCTTGCGATTGTGTAAACCTTTATTTTTCTTTTGCTCTTAATAGACGTTAAATACATCCTGTTTGAAATCCCAGGCAGTTGTTTAACGGAAGACTTGCTTTAACGCTTCACAGAAACCAAGCGCAGCACGTGTTTTATGATCTCGTAAACGAGCAGCGATGTTGTGAAACGTGTGTCTTTGTGCCTCGGGAGTGGGGTGCGGGGGGGTCGGTGGGGGTCCTGTGTCTGATAGGGATTTATTCCACCCATCCACCACCTCACACACACACTAACACACACCTACCTACCCCCTTTGTCTGCATGGTGGAGCACTCCCCAGAGAGCAATGCTGGACACACAGGAATCTCTGTCCAGATTTCCAGAGATTCTCCCATATCGCTTACACAAGAGCCTTCACACGATGGGCCGGCTGCCTGAGAGCCTTTAGGCTTTCACAGTCTGCAACCACTCTCCTGCAGCCAACATGGCGTAATGATGTGATTATTTAAGTATTTAGCTGTAAAAATACACCACAGCTAAATGAATCAACCTTGAAAAATATGTTGTTCACAAACATGTATATATTTTACATTTCTGCAGATTTTCATCAACAATGAGTGGCAGGACTCTGTCAGTGGGAAGGTTTTCTCTGTCTACAACCCAGCTACTGGAGAGCAGATCTGTGAGGTCCAGGAAGCAGACAAGGTGAATGCTCATTTTAAATGACTTCATTTATTCCACAAGTATTGCATTGCAAGGCACGACCCACTCATGACACATTGTAAGTAACTTCTACAGTTTTTGCATGGTTTGTTTCAGCGTTTTGGCACAAATAAACATCTAAATCTGTTCATTTGTTGATTTTGAATCATTATTATTGATGCAATTAAAGTACATGTTGGTCAAAATAGCTAAAAACGTACAATGTACCATAAATCACCAAACTTTTACTTCAGCCCTAGTTCTGATTACACACTTTACTGAGTTTGCACATGATGCAGAAACGAACAGATGTGCATAACGACTTAAAACTGTTTTAGGCTGATGTTGATAAAGCAGTGCAGGCAGCCCGACTTGCCTTTTCTCTGGGCTCTGTATGGAGAAGGATGGATGCGTCTGAAAGAGGACGACTGCTGGCTAAACTTGCTGACCTGGTGGAGAGGGACAGCATCTATCTAGCAGTAAGTAAAAACATTTTTTACAAAAACTTCTGAAAATATTCAAAAAGAGCCTTTTTATGCATTTTTTCATCACTTTATTCCAGTATAGCCTCATTTTTCACATTCCAACTGATCTAATGTATTTTATGTCTTCTGCAAAGCTCCCACTGCCCTCACCGTGTTTGAAAATACAAATATTTGCTTTGCCTTAAAGAGAACTGAGGGGCTGTATTTGTAGTTTAATGTTATCTTGGTGTCACATTTCACCCGTGGGTGAGTGTAAAGGATGGAAACGTTTGGAATTATGTGAAGATCACAAGGTTATATCACATATTTCACAAATGTCTCCCTCGTCTCTCGTCAGACCATCGAGTCGTTGAACAGTGGGAAGCCTTTCCTGCCCACCCTGTTTGTCGACCTCCAGGCAACGATAAAGACACTGAGGTACTTTGCTGGATATGCAGACAAGATCCATGGTGCCTCCATTCCAATGGGTAAGAGCTTGTGTTCAGATCTGTTGCTTCCTTTCGGGTATTTTGTAAAAATAGTTATCTCTGTATGTCCCATTAATGTATTTCTGTAATACAAAAATACGTTTTTGTAGTTTTTTGTAGTTATTTTTTATTAGAGTAGGGAAACCGGCTACACACTTTAATGTGAAACAAAATAAATTATTTTCTAATTTTATCTTTTAAAATATTGAGATTTTGTGTCTGTCAGTTTTCAAATAAATATAAAACTGTGCTTTTCTGATCTAGTTTCTAGTAAGTTTAATCTTTTCCCTTCAAAATAATTTATTACATGACTTTTTTTCTTTTATTTGGCTCCAAATTTTCCAACTGCTTTCCTATTTTATGTTTTTTTTACTTATGACTCATAGAAACATAATTACAGCAAGGTATTAATGAATTTTTTTTTACTAGGGATTGAATTTTAAGTCATGGAATTATTTTGTTTTAAAAAATAAGTTAAAAAAAGTCTTGCTGATGTCCTGAATGCAAATGTTGTATTTCAAATTGTTTTATCAATTCATACCTTTTTTTAAAAATAGAAACATAATAATTTGTGATACTTTTTTGTACAGAAATGGTCAAAAGGGCCAATTTTGAGTATTTTCACATAGAATTTATCATTTGATATTTTGGTACAAACATGATCTGAGAAAACTGAAACTTATTGTGAAGTATTTCTGTACTTAATTAAAACATCTTCTTGACTATGTGACCTTTTCCAACATTTTCACCAGCATGTCTAACTGGATCCATAAAAAATGTCTGAATGACATCAGCTTTATTCATGAAGACGGTTTAGAGGTGTGCTAAAATAACGTCTGGGCAGATTTGTTTGACGGAGATTTTGTTAAGCAGAAGAAACCATATTGTGTTTTGAAAATGGATTACTGCCTCTATTGTGTTTTCATCATAAAAACTTCAATCAATCAACCAACCAATCAAATTATCTATAAAGCACCTTCCACAAAGTTATCTGAAGCCCAAGGTGCTGAACACCATCATACAAGAAAAAAATATGCCCAGTACATGGGCAAAGGAACAGGGTAAAATCATAGGATTATAAAATTGTAAAAAAGTACAATTTTAAAAGGCAATAAAATGAGGCTAGTCGATTAAAACAAATAAGAGCAAAATTAAAAACATTAAGACCATAACATCAGGGCAGTTCAATGCACCCTAAAGCTGTAAAGCTATCAAATAAAAGTGAGTCTTTAGAAGGACTTGCAGAAGCATGCATACTGCAAAGAAAAGCAGCTAATTGGTTTACAATCTGCACACTTGTTCTCCATTCATTATTCTTGGGCAGCAGCTGCCACTATCTCCTCGCTGGTATGGTTACAGCAGAGGGTTTAAAAGGGGGAATACCTGGCTGTCTGTTTCACCGGGAAAAGGAAAAAAAAAGACTAAGCGAGAGGACATGAGAAACCTGTTGATACCCCTGCATTGTCCTTCTCAAAGCGTCTGTTATCCACTGCTGCCAAACCAGCCACAGTGTGCGTTTTCCCAGGGCTTTGCCTTAAGCATCACTCCTCTTGCAGGCTTTCAGAGGAAATAATCCGCCTGTAGCCTGGATGATGTCAGGAATGGTGTCTGTTCACCTGTCAGGATAGTGCAACGCTTCAACAACCCACTCTGTTTGTGTGGCATGTTAAGCTAGGGTTGTGGTATTAAATTTGTATCACAGGCAGTGTGACAAGAATAGGGAGTGTCATTATGTGGAGCACCTTTCAGCTACACAGTTTGGTATCGTTTACATTACCCATTCCAAATTGAAATCCAAGTCGGTTGCAGGCGTCATAGTTTCACATAAGCCTCGCAGAGACTCCAGTTTCTCGTGTTTTTATAGTTTCATTCTGCAAAAGGATCCAACGTCCACCTTGGAATCAAATAAAACCACTGGCACATGCAAAACTTTACCGCAGGCTTCCACTGAAAAAATAATTGTCATCTTCCTCTGATGTTGGGTCCAAACGCAGCATTAGGCAATAATCGCCGTGGTAATGAATTCAGATGCACGTTTCTCGATGTGAATTGTTTTTGTGCTGATTGAACAAGCATGTCACACCCTTGATAACGTCCTCCTTTTACTCAAATAATGCGAGAGGAATGAGCTGTGTGTCTGTGCTGTCGGAGGCTTGAAACGTAAACTCTCACCAGGGTGAAAGAAGCAGGAATGCTGCGTGTGGATTCATTTACAAATGAACATGTTGAGTCAACAATGGCTGTAGCGTCAGGTGTCTTTTTATTCTTTCTCTGATCTGGGTATTTTTTTAAACTTTTCTGAAAAGTTAGTAACTCGGTTTCCCATGTGTGTGTGTGTGTGTGTGTGTGTGTGTGTGTGTGTGTGTGTGTGTGCGTGTGTGTGTGTGTGTGTGTGTGTGTGTGTGTGTGTGTGTGTCTTCCTCCACAGATGGAGAGTATCTGACTTTTACCAGACATGAGCCTATCGGAGTCTGTGGACAAATTATCCCTGTAAGTTTACGCCTTCTTTCAAGTGACATGTATAAAACGGACGTTACTGCAGAGAGTGGCCGATAACAGAAAATTGGCTTGGTTAGAAAGAAAACCCCTCCTGTTTATAGGATTACATTCTGATTTTCCAGTAATTCCCTCACAGTCATTGTTTATTTGGGTAAATCCTGCTGGTAAGCCCCCAACAATGACTGTGCCAGTGAGTTTGAGTAATGGGAAAAAAGAAGTGAGAAGCACAAGAGTGAGCGGAGGGATTTAACGTGTTGTGTTTAAGGGAAGGAGAATGATGAGAAAGGAGGAAAAAGATCAAGGAGAAAGAGACACTGCTGACTGTGCAACAGTGCAGAAAGTGTGTGGTTCTGCCTCCAGCCCCATGGGTTCCTCAGTAAAGCAGAAACAACAGAGGCCTGCGTGTTGTACAGTGATACGGCTCAATTGCACATGTGTTGCAATTTCCCGGCTTTCTCAGAATGCTGTGGGAAGGGAAAACACTGCGATGGTGCCGAGAACATTTTCTCACTTGACTATGTTTAGACAAAGTGAAAATGAGAGTAAGTGACTTAAGAGCGATGAGTTATTGAACTTGACTCATGACCACCCAGCGTGTCCATTGCATGATTTTTTTCCGGCTTGTGTGTGCTTGTGGCTCGCACAGTGGAACTTCCCTCTGATGATGACGGCCTGGAAGCTGGGCCCGGCACTCTCGTGCGGCAACACCGTCCTCCTGAAACCAGCTGAGGAGACGCCGCTCACCTGCCTCTACATAGCAGCTCTAGTCAAGGAGGTAAACCTCAGGCCGACTCTGTCACCATGTTAAATGTCTGCATTCAACAGAGTCAGAATGTAGTTCGTCAGGAACACAGTGTCGACTTTGGCCCTTATTAATGTTGCTGCAAAGTGACAAAAACCAGATGTCTAACAAAGTTTCACATGTCTTTATGATGCATATCTGGTTTCCTGTTTCAGACCCTGAAGTTATCTCTAACCATGACTACAACTAGAACAAAAGGTTCAGCTCATATTATGTCTGCTCTTATCCCAAAACATCAAAATCAAATATCTCAGCATAAAGTCTTAAATTATTGCTGCAGCTAATGATTAACAGAGTGTTTCTGCCTCTCTCTGTTGTTCAAAAATGAAACCATAATATCTTGTTTACAGGTGCGGTCGTGTTGTAGTTTTAGGAAAATTTTAAAGGTTCCACCTACTCACCTGCAAACAATCATGGTGTTTCGTCTAGCTAATGACATCCAAACATATTTGATCACGTGAACGAGCAGAGCTGTGATTTGAACTATGGGAATCAGCATCATTTAGATGCCGGGGGCAGGACTTACGGTAACAGAGCAGTTTCCTGCTCCTCTGCCCTACTGGCTAAAAGTGGAATTACAACTGTCATAAACAAACCTGCAGCAGCCTACTGTAGCTAGCGCTAACAATGAGCTAACACTAACATGAGCCAACTGATACTAAATGAACCACAAAGTAAAAAGATTCACACCATTGGACAAAAAGTACTACTTACAAGTCCAGTAGCAACAAAGCCAGGTCACCATCAGCCTCCCTTAGTTCCTTCAACCTAGTGTAGGCTGCACTGATGTTTACTCTCGTTTAACAATTTGCTTCGACTTCAAAGAAATGACTCTCTTTTACTTCCAGGATCCGTAATGATGCAAACAAAAAACAAATTTCTTTTTCTTCTTCTCGCACATTTTATTGATGATCAGCCAACTGAAGTAGCTAACTACTAGCATAATAACTAACAGCCATAAAGCAGGTAACGAGCTCCCCCAATAGGACACCTATCTGCTCCACAAAACTGTTAAAGTTACAGTGTGTAGTTTGCAGCCACCAGAGGGCAGTACATACATACATTTCAGGGTAGTTTTACACCACAACTTCCTGACTGTCGCTACTTAAAAAAAATTACTGTAGATGTTACCTGTGGAGCAGAAAGAATGCAGCCTTGGCATGACTCCTCAGACTTTTATGGTTTTTCAGGTAATTACGTAAAAGAATGCAATGCCAGTTGTAGTTTTCAGGCGCTATACTACCAGATCTGCTTGGGGGCTTGCGCCTGCTGATGACGTCATCATACTAATACCACTCAGCCAAAATATATTGTATCCCTTTTTCAAATCTGTTCTTTTATGAATGTTTTGGAAAGAGTTTAGCAGTTTTGTTGTTAAATTCGTGTTTCTTACTGCCTAAATGTTTTTGAACGAGGTAACGTTACTTCCAAAAGTAGCATGTTCAGCCAGTGATCTGGAGTGACGTCATTGACAGGCGCAGGACCCCAAACTGACCAGAAGGAAACATGGCGTCCCCCAAAGAGGCTAGACCCGCACCTTATGTACTTTAGACTTGATTTTTATGGTTATACGATAAGAAGCTGCCAATAATTTTCAACAACTGGACATCATTTTATTCATTTTGAGCAACATTTTCATGGATATTTTCTGAGACTAAAGGTAAAAACTACTGATTGTCTCTCTGAGTGCAGTATCTGGCCAGCAGAAGTCTGCAGACTGGTGTCAAATATGAAACTGGTCAAGTATCTTACTCAACAATCACTGAGATCAATGTTAAAGCTCAAGCAGTTTACACAATTTTTGTGGTTTATTGAAACATTTGAACACTAATAACAAATAAGCATTTTCAAGAAGGCAAAAAGTGTTTTTAATAACATGTCAGCCTCAAAATGATGCTCACCCTTGACTGTTTGACCAGTAATGTGAACTCTTAGCTTTCAAGCAGGGGCGGATTTAGGACTGAAGAAGATCCGGGGCTTAACACACACACGCGTGCGTGCGCACACACACACACGCACTAGTCAACATCATATATATTTGTCTTCTACTACACAATTTTTAATCTGAAGCTACATATTAAGCATTTTCAGGGCAGAGTATTGTTCCTGTTAGTGTTTAGTGTGAGATGATAGTAAATATTCCCTTTCTTTCTCCAACAACTTTACCTGATAAGCTAACTTTAGGCAAACCAGCAGCACAACAAATATTTTCAAATAAGACTCACAAACCTGAGTCAACACCAGTCTCATCAAAGCTGGGGTTCTGTCGTTGTACTTTTGGTCTAATAAACGTCCTTATGTCCATCTTCACTCATGCGTTTCAGGCAGGGAGTATAGAAGAAGCCGGCTGCTGAAGGTCTTCTTCAGTGGTGGAGGCTCAGGCAGGCTGTAAACAAACTACTGCTAGCTGCTCCCTCTCTGTTGGACTTTGGTACTGCTTGTTACTTCCGCGATTTAGATCCGGGGCTTTTCATAAAACATCCGGGGCTTGAGCCCAAGTAGCCGGACCTAAAGCCGCCCCTGCTTTCAAGTAAGTGAATTTGTAAAGTTGTTCATATTTTTTATTTTTAACTTAAAATTCAGCGCATTATAAATGCTGACACATCCCAAGAAAGTGCTGATACATAAACTTAAAAAAATAATACATCACATAATATTTTTCACAGACAGTTGAATTGAAAGTATAATTAAAGACTCGGACAAATGTGCAGTTGATTTGAATCCAATAGCCTGTGGTGCAGTTGGATAGGGCCACTGTGCAGATATATTTACTCTAACAGATTCAGTCTGTCTGGACACAACTGTAATAAACACACAAGTAACTTCAGCAAGCAGGGAACAATGCATCTCACTCAGATCTTAGTGTCCATATCCTCCTTGTGTCCCCCATGTCCTCCTCAGCTGCGCCTTTTTTTTTGGGGCCCATCCTCTTTTGATGTTATCCCCAGATCTTCCTGTAGGCTGGCTGGGTTGGGTCCGGATTCCCCCACGCCGCCTGCGGTTTTGCTTGGCTCTGCTGTCGTCCCCACTAAAGCTTGTTTCCTCTCATATTGTTTTGACAGGCCGGGTTTCCACCGGGAGTCGTCAATATTTTGCCAGGATTCGGGCCAACAGCAGGAGCTGCGATTGCTTCGCACATGGACATAGACAAAGTGGCTTTCACAGGATCAACTGAGGTACGCTCAAATCAGCTGCTGCTCGTTGTTTATGTTTGTCTCTGAAAACAAGTGACAGTGACCAACATGTGCCGGGCATAAAAGCTGGCTGGGTGATTAGGGGACCTTGTGTGCCTGCACTGAAGCCCTAATGACAAACAAATGGGCTCTCACTTAAGTTGCGTGGCCTGTCATTACTCTCTGTGAAATGCCTTTGATTTTATCTCACACATGTGAATATTTGCATTGTCACGAACACACACACACACATCTCTCTGAAACAGCATCTGTCTGCCTGTCTGCAGCTGCCTTTGCTGAATTAATTTGCAGCAGCAGCTCTTCTCATTGAACCTTTTATCAGGATCCACATCCGATGAACCGCTGTGGCTTTGCAGACAAGGGGAAGCAGTTATTGCGAAGCTAAAAGACTTACCATGTTAGGTGCTGAGAGTTGTGGTCTGAACACATTCCTGTGGCTGAAGGGGGCAGCTGAGTGACGGAGAAATAACTTCTCTGCAGATCATTTATAAACATCTGCCCTTTCCACCAGACTACCCACTCTTTATTAAAACCATTTACTCAAGTAGAGTGTGCATGCGTGTGTGTGTTCTGCAACAACTGATAATCCCCTGCAGGTACAGACATAATAGATCACAGTCAGGAGCCACACAGTCACAGAAGTGAAGCGGAACTTCAGCATCAAAGTGAAAGATTAAACCCACATATTTTGATTTAGTTAGTTTACCTTAAAATGCTGATAAAGGTGAGCGAAATCAATTTCAAGCCATACTTGTGTAATGACTCGACGACTTGCAGTTCGACCATATTTATGTCGATGAGTTCGACTGAGAGCATCCTGTCAGTTTTCTTGAAGGTTTGAAATTATAAACAAAATAAATAAATAACAGATTAATTTCTGATGAGTTTTACACGTCTGTCAAGATGTTGAAGAATAAATAATAATAAAAAAATAACAATTTTTGTATTGAACACCAATTTGATACAAACTCCAACTAAGATCATGAAATTTTGCTTAACTAAAAAATAACAACTTCAAATTCCCAACATTGTTGGTGAGCTAACATCAAACTGCTGTCACTTTCATCAACTTTTGGATTTTTCTTGTTACATTTGCTCAGATTTTTACTCAGAAATTTAAAGGGGACATGTCACGCATCCTTGGGTCTCTACTGCCTTTCTGTCAGTGTTTGATTTTAGGAAACAATTAGTTTCAAAAAGTCTCTTTTTGTGATGCCACAAACAGGAAAATAACCATAGAACCACCTCTCGTGTGCAAAAGAGAGCTGCGGCTGGAGGAGCAGCGGCTCTACCCTGAGCTCCTCCTGGATATCGGAGTTTCTCAGCTTACAGCAGCTGGGGGGAAAGGCGACTCTCGCTTGTTATATTAAAGTGATAGAGCCCTGAAACGACTCATTCTGGAAGGAACTGAAAATGTCAAAAACAAAACTACAGAAATTGCTTTATGTGAGAGGAATTAAGAGTGAAGAACTTCATGAACGTGTTTCATATCGACCATAGAACTATTCTAACTTATAATATGTCCCTTCTAAGAAAATTCAAGAATCTATGCCACCAGAAGTCATATTTTGCTCAGTTTGAACAAGAAAGATTAGAATTAGAATTTTGAATTAGACATTTGACTTCCACATACATCAGATGTAGTGCTTTAACCTTTTCAAGTTGCAAGTGTTATGAAGAAATTTGACACTCCAGTGCTTCTATTATAGGTGACTGGGACTCTTTTTTTTATTAGCCTGCCTGTTGTTTTATGTTGCCTGGAGTCAATTACTACTCAGATCTGACCGTTTCAGAGACCAACAATGCTCAGACATTGAGTCACTGAGGTGCAGTAGCGATAGTGATGGAGTAGTTACAGGTGGATTTTAGGACTAAAACAATCCTTCATACTGACTCACATGTCTCCACACAGAGGAGTTAAGCAGCCCAGCATGTTTTCTTCACTGCTTATTAAATACACGCAAACATCTCCTTAGTCAGCCACTTTACATTGCTAATCAAAGCCAGACAGATTGTGTTGTTTTTCTGCAGCTCTGGTGCCAGCCACAGCTCAGTTTTTATCTCTTCACTGAATCAACGCAGACTCACTAGAGGCTGAAAGAAGATGAGTCCTTTCCATGTTGGAGATGGGGGTGTTTAAGTTTGAACACTGGTGGTATTTTTCCACTTGATCTCGTCAGTTCCCTTGGAAAATAAAAAGGCCGTTTGAGTAACAGGAAGATGACTGCTTGTGGAGGGTGTAGGATTGTGAGGGGAGTGTGGGGATTTCACAGCCGTTCTTATCTGTTCAGGTCGCGGTGTGTCAGAGTAGGGAAATATCAGTTACATCAGCTAGATCCTAGCATTTAGGACTCTTTAAAATGTGTGTAAATGTGGCTCAATCTCATTGGAAGAGCCACACAAAATCTAAAGTACTACCAATGCAATATTTAAACAGGACTTGACAAATGTTTGATGATGTTTGGTTTGCATTTTAACCTGTTTACTGTTGGCGGACGCAAGCATTCCACAAAACATGTCAAGCAGCTAAGCGCTTTAAAACGAATCACGCATATAAATCTTTCAAGCAGGCATATATTATTTTTTGTTTCCGGTTTTGGTTATGTGATCTCATCATTCCTGATAAGGAATGAGGTGGAAATAGGGATGTTAGGAAGATAAGGAAAAGCCACAGGCAAATCCCCATCGGAGCACAGACCCTGTTTCATACCAAACAATGCGTCCCACAGTTGGTTGGATCACAGGATACCACCACCACCACACACCTTGTGGCTGCCTTTTCCTGCTCTTTACATATCAGATGGTGTTCCAGGATGAAACATAATTTTGTTTTCCTATTGCCATCTACAAAACCCTGTAACGTATATTTGTTTTGTGTGTATGTGGACCTCATGTTTCAGTTGGCCCACCAGTGTGTTCCTTGTTTGGAGCCAACCAGCATCTTTATTAATGGCTCTGATTTACTGATCTGGCTGCAGGCCTGTCTACTGAAGTAAACCTCAGATTTGTTTCCTCTGCTAGGTTGGCAAGCTGATCCAAGAGGCAGCGGGGAAGAGTAACCTGAAGAGAGTGACACTGGAGCTGGGAGGGAAGAATCCCAACATCATATTCGCAGATGCAGACAGTAAGTTTTTATGAAATATGAAAATAATAAACACAGTTTTGTGTTTTTCACAGGAGAAACTAATGCTTTTCAAATGGTTTAACATGCACATAAATAAATGAAATGCAACCGGGAGGTGATGATTGTTATTTTAGACAAAATTCTATTCTTATTCTTTATGGTTTAAATATTCTTTTCACTCCAAACTAGCCATGCAGCTTGAACTCTGAAGGTTTATGCATTAAATAAGTACACCATAAGTGACCCCAGCCATTATCATCATTAGGCACAGATTTTTATTTACATATACTGATGCAACACCAACATGCCCATACAGAGACTTACAACCAGATGCATCGTTTTATACTTCGTTGAGGACGATGAGAATAATTCCAGGCATAGTACAGCAGAATCTACCTCACAAGACATAAAAGTGGATGAGATAGCTAAATATCTGAAGAAGAAGAAAAAAGACACAATTTTTGTCATCGCTTTATGTTTGTTACATACAATAATTGCCAGTTATTTTGAGCAAATTCTTAAAAAACATCACATGGACTTTTGTACTAACAAAACTATTTAAAATAGAGAAAATGGTTATGTTTTGGGTGTTTCGCAAGAAGAAACATCTCAGTTTTCATGAGCCCCACCTCTTTGCCTTCACTGGAAAAAAAGTGGAACACCCTTCCCCCGATATCATGAAGGGGCTAGTAAAATTAGAGGAATCAGTGGGATTCAAGGTTTCACTGTCATGTTGCTAAAAGTCTTAAAATGTTCTAAATCTTTGCAATTTTCTCTAAAATTGTTGCAGAGTTGTTGCTGGTGTCTGGAATATGTCTAAGACCCTTCTCTTTTTGTTTTCATGAGTCAGGTAATGAAAGGAAAAGACATCTTTGAGAGAGTTTGGTGACCAAGTTGACAACAGAATGAAGCTATGTGCGAATAAATTAAGGAAACTTTTCAAATATTTTGCAACTGGAAATTTTCACACGATTTTGGGCACACTTGTTTTGCAAGTACCTCAAATACCCCCAAATAACCTGGTCATAGGTAAAACTTCTCATAAAAGTATTTTTTTAATTAAGTCAATATGGTGAAGGCCAGTTTCCTCAACAGGGGTTGGACTTTCAACCACTCTGGAGATGCTCCCACTGAGAGGCGCTGAGCAGGGGTGGGCATACTTCCTGCTCCCCATCTTGCTGCTTGTACGTTGTGTTTTACCCCAATGAATGAAAGGGTGGCCTCCCTCCGCCTTTGTGTGGGGGGGATAGGACCTGACTGTGGTTTGTGCTTATGCACCAAAGTGAGCAACGACAGTGAGACCTGAAGAGGTGTAGTTGGGAAGAATGGTCCTCCTGACCGCATCCTTTGAGGGGCCCTGTGGTGGGTACTCCCCAGACCCCTTGATATGGACTATTAGGTTGCTGTATGACCGGTGTCAGAGCTCGGTCTGCATTGCCAGCAGTAAGTTGGGCTTATTTTCAGTGAGTGTTGAACTCCGCTAAGGCTGCTCTTTGCCATCGATTTAGTTCATAAAGTTTATGGACAGGATTTCTAGGCACAGCCAAGGTGCTGAGGTGGTCTAAGCATCAAATCTCTGCTTTTTGCAGATGATGTGGTCCTGTTGGCTTCATCAGCCGAGTGTGAAGCAGCTGGGATGAGAATGAGCTCTTCTAAATTTGAGACCATGGTCTTGAGTCCAAAAAAGTAGAATACCTTCTCCGGGTCAGGGACTAGGTCCTCCCAAAAGTAGTGCAGTTTAAGTATCTCGGGTCTTGTTTGCAAGTAAGGGAAAGATGGAGCGCAAGATTGATAGGTGCTGCGTCTGCAGTGATGTGGGCATTGTACTGATCTGTTGTGGTAAAGACAGAGCTAAGCCTGAAGGCAAAGCTTTTGATAGTTGATCTACGTTCCTACCTTCACCTACGGTCACAAGCTTTGGGTATTGACCGAAAGAATGAGATTGCGGATAAAAGCAGCCAAATTTAGTTTTCTCCGCAGGGTGTGTGGGCTCTCCCTTAGAGATAGGGTGAGAAGCTCAGTCATCTGGGAGGGGCTTGGAGTAGATCCGCTGCTCCTCCACATCGAGTGGAGCCAGTTTAGGTGGCTCGGGCATCTGATTAGGATGCGTCCTGGACGCCTCCCTGGTGAGGTTTATGAAATTAGCTTTTAGTTTGTGTTTTCCGTGTGTTATTTTAAATATAAAAGGTGTGGAACACAAAAAATAATATTTTAATGATTATTTCTGATTATAATCAATCACTCTGAATTTTTCAGACACACCTTTAAGGAAAAATCCTTCTAATTTGTTAAAAACCTGTTTTGTTCTCCACAGTGGATCTGGCAGTAGAACAGGCCCACCAGGGTGTGTTTTTCAATGCAGGCCAGTGCTGCACAGCAGGTTCTCGCATTTATGTAGAGGAGCCCATCTATGATGAGTTTGTTCGTAGGAGTGTGGAGCGAGCTAAGAGGAGGATAGTGGGCAGTCCCTTTGACCCCACAACGGAGCAGGGTCCACAGGTGAGACAAGCAGCTCCTCTTTGTCCTTTTGTTGAAATTAATAACTTATATGATTATTTTTTAAATCACCTTAATGTCATGCATTTTCTCCTCAGATCAGTCGGGAGCATCAGACTCGTGTACTGGAGTTCATCCAGACCGGCATCAGTGAGGGAGCAAAGCTGGAGTGTGGGGGCAAAGCTCTGGGCTTGAAAGGGTTCTTCATTGAACCCACGGTTTTCTCCAGCGTGAGGGATGACATGATCATAGCTAAAGAGGAGGTAGGATGATGAAGACTAGGAATTTTATCTGTAGTTTCTGCACAACGAATGTTTGTAAACCTGCACCACAAACTTTCATGCAGTCTTTTAAATCATCTGTTGAAATATGATGGCGTTACATTTTACCCAAAACTTGACAGCGACATTATGCATTCATTCTTGCAGAATCTCAAGATCTTATGTCATCTGTTAGCACTCAGCTCAGCTATCACCACATCAAATTCTAGCCCAATATCTATAAAAAATGCCCAACTTATGGATCTTATTGTTTTTCCCAAGTTTGTCAGCTGTGGTAGCCATTTTGAATAGAGTTTTATTAAAATGGGTGTTAAAAATGTGTATTTTTATTTGAGTTTTTATTTTTATTTTTTGCTTTTTGTTAAATTTAACCAAGAATAAAAAAATGTGCATAATAGTAATGATAAAAATGCTGGCCATATTATGATAAGGTCACACTTTACACTAAGGGTCCCTTTTTTAACAGTACTCAGTGCATTATTAAGCATTAGTAAACTATTAAAGTGTTAATAACTGCTTAACCATATTAAGTAATGCATTACTAAGCAAACAACCCCCCACTAACCTTAAAGTGTAAAACACTGAAAAACCATCTTTTATTGCTTATTTCTGATTACAATCAGTCACTCTGGGTTTTTATGCAGGCTGAGCATGAAAATAGTCTCCTACACCTACCTCCTGCATTAGCTCCTGATACATCTCACTGCCGCTTGGACTTGCCCATATAGGGAGCCTAAGTCACGCCCATCTGCTTCTGGACCATGGGTCCTCGGAAGAACAAAAAAATGAATGCAAGTCAATGGGGCTAAATACGTTATTTTCTAACCCGCTTGTTATGTGCCATGGATTTCACATATGTTGTCAGTGAGTTTTAAATACATATTTTGATACCAAGAACGCGCTTATTTTTGAACAAGAGGAAATGCTATTGTTGGTTTTGTGTGAAAATAAGCCCAGAACTACAAATGTGCTTCGCAAAAGTGACATCATCGAACCAGACACGGAGAAAGCCCAGGAAAAAGGGCTGTAAGTTCAGCAAACTTCCCACAGGAGGAAAGAACCACCATAAATCTGGTCATTTGGTAAGTAGCAGCTACTTTGGGGAGAGGAGATTATGTGGTGATGTCACATAAGCGACGTGCCGATTTCTGGTGTGTAGTCATGCTAATTACGAACTTTTACAAGCTGATAAATCTCAAAGTACGTGACTGGCATGGTCGAAACACATTATTACTTTTCATTTAAATTGCATTACAACATACAGTATGTGCGATCCAGGGCGTAGGGCAAAGCGGGTTATGAAATAACATTTTTAGCCCTGTTGACTTGCATTCATTTTTTTGTTCTTCCCATGAGCCGACCGGAAAGGGAGGAGACTTAAGCTCCCTATTGACTCGTGAAGGGGAAGACTGTGGTTGTTTTAACTTAGAGAATCAGTAGATAATGTCACACCTTGTACTGTCTCCCCTTTTGGTTTAGTCATGTGTCTCTGTTAATTGCTCCCACCTGCCTCTCGTTTCCCAATCACCCAAGCTCCCAGCCCTCCTGTATTTAAACCCCTTCTGTGTTGTGTCTCGTGTTGGATCATTGTTTCTGTGCCAGCGTGTGTTAACATTAAAGCCTTTAACCGTTCCTGTCTGCCTGCCTTCTTCACCCGTGTTTGGATCCTTACCTCCGCTTCGCGCTCCAGCACGTCTGACAGAATGATCCAACCTAGTAAAGGATCCAGCGGGGATATTCTCCCCTGGGAGTGCCTGCTTCAATTTCTTTCCTCGGACCACCGGCCGGCTTCTTTTCCTCCTCCGGCGTCGCCTCGCCGCAGATGCCGTCACCGGGCTTCAGCCGTGGCGTTCCTCTCCACCCTTCCGGAGCCAGATGAGAGGTTGGACCGGGAGATGCTTCCGGATCGCTCCAGCTTCATGGGCACCAGACTGGCTGTGTGCTCCCCCGGAGCTGGCCCACGGCGTGGGGAAGGATGCCGGGCTCCACCGCAATCCTGTGCCCCAGGACGGAGCCGCGAGCTCGCCGCTCAGCGCACCTGCTTGGACCCGCCCCCAGTCGGACCAGCAGTCCCGTCTCCGGTCCAATCCGCGCCTCCGTCATCTGCAGGCGGAGGAACCACGCCCACAGCCCAGCTGACAGAGCTCGCAGATCTGCAGGCGGAGCTTGGCCGGATCCGTCAGCTCATCAGCCTCAAGGAGTCCCACCTGGACAACCTGTTTTCCCCGAATCACCAGGAGAGGATTTCAGTCCAGCCAGCAGCTCTCTCGTCTCAGAGCCAGAGGAGCAAGCCTGCAGTCCACCCAGCAGAGCTCGCCAGTCTCCGAGCTGAGCTGGCCCAACTCCATCAGAGCCTCAGTCTCCAGGAGCTCCAACTGGACACTCTATCCTTCCTCCTCTTCCAGTTTCCAGCACCACCAGTTCAATCGCATCCAGTTCCAGCGGTGGTCCCGGAGGTCGCACTACATCCGGTCCAGCCTGTCCAAGCGGTCCCGTCTGCAGCAACTCCTCCTCCACTCCAGAGGCCGACAGTCCAGAAGTCGACGCCCCCGGACCAGAAGTCGAGGGTCCAGAAGTCGACGGTCCAGAAGTCGACGGACCAGAAGCCGACGTCCCCGGACCAGAAACCGACGCCCCCGGACCAGAAGCCGATGCCCCCGGACCAGAAGTCGACGCCCCCGGACCAGAAGTCGACTCCCCCGGTCCAGAAGTCGACGGTTCAGAAGTCAACGGTCCAGAAGTCGACGGTCCAGAAGTCAACGGTCCAGAAGTCAACGGTCCAGAAGTCGACAGTCCAGAAATCAACGGTCCAGGTGTTGACGGACCAGAAGTTGATGGACCAGAAGTCGACGCCTCCGGACCAGGAATCGACGCCCCTGGACCAGAAGTCGATGGAGTTCGACGCCTCTTCCAGTCGTGTGGTCAACGCCTCCTTGTGTTCTGAAGCCGACTTCTCCTCGTGTTCTGAAGTCGATGCCTCCTCGTGTTCTGAAGTCGACGCCTCCTCATGTTCTGAAGTCGATGCCTCCTCGTGTTCTGAAGTCGACGCCTCATCCAATCCAGAGGTCAACGCCTCATCCACTCCAGAGGTCGACGCCTCATCCACTCCAGAGGTCGACGCCTCATCCACTCCAGAGGTTGACACCTCATCCACTCCAGAGGTCGATGCCTCATCCACTCCAGAGGTCGACGCATCATTCACTCCAGAGGTCGACGCTCTCTCCAGTCCAGAGGTCGACGCCTCATCCACTCCAGAGGTCGACGCTCTCTCCAGTCCAGAGGTCGACGCTCTCTCCAGTCCGGAGGTCAACGCTCTCTCCAGTCCAGAGGTCGACGCTCTCTCCAGTCCGGAGGTCAACGCTCTCTCCAGTCCAGAGGTCGGCGCTCTTCCCAGTCCAGAGGTCAACGCTCCCTCGTGTCCAGAGGTCGACGCTCCCTCATGTCCAGAGGTCGACGTTCCCTCGTGTCCAGAGGTCGACGCTCCCTCGTGTCCAGAGGTCGACACTCCCTCCAGTCCAACATCTCCGCCGTCTCCAGTCCCGTGGTCGACGCCGTCTCCAGTCCAGAGGCCGACGACGCCGCCTCCAGCCCAGAGGCCGACGCCGCCGCCTCCAGCCCAGAGGCCGACACCGCCGCCTCCAGCCCAGAGGCCGATGACGACGCCTTCGGCCCAGAGGCTGACGCCGCCGCCTCCAGTCCAGAAGTCAAGGACGTCTCCTCCGGCGTCTCTGCCTCCGGTCACTGCCAGTCCTGCCCTCATCAGGCGCGGGCTCCCAAGAGTCCATCCTCGTCTCCTCCTTTGTCCCAGACGTAGGCCTCACAGAGCTCATCGTCGCCTCCTCTGCCCCAGACACAGGCCCCCAAGAGCCCATCGTCGCCTCCTCCTCTGCCACAGACGCATACCCCCAAGAGCCTGTCGTCACCGCCTCCTCTGCCACAGACGCAGGCCCCCAAGAGCCCGTCGACACCGCCTCCTCTGTCACAGATGCAGGCCCCCAAGGGTCCGTCGTCGCCTCCTCTGCCGCAGGCGTAGGCCCCCAAGAGCCTGTAGTCGCTGCCTCCTCTTCCACAGACGCAGGCCCTCAAGAGCCCATCGTCGCCTCCTCTGCCCCAGGCGCAGGCCCCCGGACTCTACTGGTCCGTGCCTCCTCTTCGTCGGGCCCTCGGTCCCTCTCGGTCCTCCCTCTGGGGCCCCCTCCTCCCGCCCTGCTCTTTGTTCCTGTGGGCGTCTGGAATCCGACCTTTGTGTGTGTGTGTGTGGGGGGGGGGGGGGGGGGGGGGGGGTACTGTCACACCTTGTCCTGTCCCCCCTTTTGGTTTAGTCCTGTGTCTCTGTTAATTGCTCCCACCTGCCAATCACCCAAGCTCCCAGCCCTCCTGTATTTAAACCCCTTCTGTGTTGTGTCTCGTGTTGGATCATTGTTTCTGTGTCAGCGTGTGTTAACATTAAAGCCTTTAACCGTTCCTGTCTGCCTGCCTTCTTCAACCGTGTTTGGATCCTTACCTCTGCTTCGCGCTCCAGCACGTCTGACAGATAACGTCTCCCTAGCAGAAGCTAATTGTTAGCATTAGCAACTCAACCGCACAACAGAAGTTCCTCCAGGCTCGTGTTATTTGTGGAGATAAAACATCACCATAGCAAAGCAAATGAAGTCAGTGAGAGTTGCGTTACTGTTATCCAATCTGAGTCCAAATATCAGGAAATAAGACTCCAAATCCTGCAGTGTTAAGCTTTCCTCTGATGTCACAAATTTGCCCCTGCTGAGCCAGGCGTTTGTGGGTCTTTTTGTACCTTGAGTACGGCCTAAAAGGCATTCATTTCAACTAGAGACCACTGCAAATGTATTGATTAAATGAGTGAACCACAATTATAAGGACGCAATAGTTCGCAATAAAGGTCAAGTTAATAAAGGGACCCTTGTTGTAAGGTGTTACCTAGTTGGGTATAAATTAGCAGTTTTATAGATACATTCATAACTTTGCTAATATTTTTAAGAATGACAAAAATTCTAGTCCAAAAGATGCAGATATTTTGATTTAAATCTGTATATATATCAATCTTTTTACAGATTTTTGGCCCAGTCCAGCAGATTATGAAGTTTAAAACCATTGAAGAAGTGATAGAAAGAGCCAACAACTCAGATTATGGTTTGGTTGCTGCTGTGTTCACTAACAACATCAACAAAGCCATGACTGTATCCACAGCCATGCAAGCCGGCACAGTCTGGTGAGTTTTTGGACTAAAATCATTAACATTGTTCACAATCCACAATCGGTTTTCTTCCCATTTCTTTTCCACACCTTAACCATAAACTGATTATGACTGAAACCTCTTTTTTTTATATACATAAACTACATTATGACAGGTTTTTTTTTGTTGACTCAGGATTGTTGCAATTTATTTATAATTACTTACAGCTGGTCATGAATAATCTCTAGCACACAACAGCTGCCAGCAACATTTAGCTACTAGTCAGAGTTGACCACAGATGTTTAGTAACTGAAAAAACATTTATTTAATTTATTTATTTTTATGTCTTCATAATTGACACATCACATACTTTCACGTCACTATTTTCCATAAAGCAGAAAAGAGGTGTGTAGTCAAAAACATCTGTAAAAACTTTATAAAATATGAATATTTCCCTATTAATATATTTAAATGTTTAAATCCTGACAACTAATGCTGACTGCATTTTACCATAAAGAGGACAGATTGTTTTGCAGTGTATTTGAAATGTTGCAGCAGGAAAAAAAAGCTTTTTAATATTTGAAAAACATTTACTGTAAATCATTCACTTTAAAATTTTCCCAGCAGTTTAAAAACACAAATACAAGTACTAGTATACAACTTGACAATATTTAGCTGTTTGCTTAAAAGGAAGTGAAATATATCAACAAGTTCAAAGTGCTGTAAAAATAGCGGCGATTATGGTGACATGTTCTTTTATCCATCATCCTAAATGAAGCTCATGTTGCACAGAGCCTCATAGTGAACAGCTGAAGTTAAACGCATCAGGCTGATCAATGTTTTGTGTATTTTCCCAGGATAAACTGCTTCAACGCTCTGAGCACACAGTGTCCATTTGGAGGATACAAAATGTCTGGTAATGGACGTGAATTGTGAGTACCACTTGGTCATCTGCCCCCTAAATGCACACAAATTAAACAAGAAATCCCCTTAAAAAAACAAAAACCTTTTTTTCAACTTTTCAGAACATCACATTAATCTTTCCTATGAGAAGATATGACCATATGTCTCCTTTAGGAGTCTCCACCACTACAGAGTATCTACTTGGTGCAATCAACATGACAGTTGAAACAAAACGGACATCTTTGTTTTCATTTTGTATTTCAGGGGAGAAAGCTGCCTGAGAGAGTACACAGAAGAGAAGACCATCACGATGAAGATGGTCAACAAAAACTCTTAATGCAGCTATTTCCTGGGATAATATTGGTCCGTCCACTGTGGAAAAACCACATCAACCTTCAAAACTAGTTCTTACTCGCTGCCTCTAGTCCTTCCATCAACTCGACCTTGCAGTCAGCCGTTCCCATCCAGCTATCTCCAGTCCTCAATCATCCCCCCCCCCCCCATGAGGAACACCTCCTCCACTAACTACACTAAAGCACTCACAGAGACAATGATGGACGCTGCTCTGATGGCATCTTCCAATAACAACTCCATTCCCAGCCTCCACCCCTTGCTCACCCCCACCCCGGAAGCTGGATGCTCAGAAATGCAGTCGCTGCACTTGCAATAAGCCCTTTACTAGCTATGTGTCATGTGGGAGGCAGTTTTTGTTTTTCTCTATGTGTGATATGATTGTCCAAACCTCATGTGTCATCGTCCTGGTAGAATTTATGCGACTTCATCACCTCATTCAAGACCACTGATGTTGTGAATGAATGAATTGTTTTTGTTTATATATTAGCTCATATGACTTAACACTGTATGTAAACCTTTGACTGAAGTAAACGTGAAAGATTTTAAACTCTTAAAAACATTGTACTCACTAAAGGATGAGTAGATGTATTTTAAACCTTTGTGACTGATTTTCATTGATGTCCATCTATGTTTATGTTTATACAATCATATGCTATAAAATTATAAAATGTCTCCAGTTTTTATTTTATTTTTTGCTTTGGTTTGTTTTCAGTAAAATGGCTTTCACCTGGAAAATTTTCCATCTAGTTTGTTTTCCTATTTTCCTGCTATTTGTTGCTCAAGAGGTCAAAAAAAGCATGTGAGCATTTTAAATGTCAGAATATCAGGTCTACAAAATTGGTCTAAAAAAGTGTTTTAGATTTAATATCGTGTCCTTGTTGAAAATTTGAGAATCTTATTTTAACACAGTCGAAGTAAAAGTTAATTTACTATCATTTAGAAATAATCAAAAACCCAATACCGGCCCTACATGGGTATTAAAATAGTACAAAAAACTAACCCCATGTCACCTTATAACTTACGTGGACAAACTTCATTTGTCATCATTTAAGTAAGATTATTCACAACACATGAGGTAGCTCAAGCTTTTCTTCTTCAGACAATTTGCTAGATGTCTCAGTGTACTCAGACTTACATTTGTAGCTTACGCCTTAGGATGAGACCTGGTACTTGTTGGAGACTTTTAGATATCCAGAAGTCTAAAATCAACCACCTCACAGTTAACATTTTTATTATGTTGTCCAGCAGACGCGATGTTCTATGTCTATTTCTGTAAACAATTTTATCTTGAGATATAAAGTAACAGTAGATAGTATTTTTTTTTTACTTAAAACTAGAGCTGGTGAAGGTTCTCGGTCATCCAGGTCATGGTAATCCATAGGAATGAGGGCAACTAGACTTCTTTGGTTTCATGGAGCTTTGTCAATTCTGACTGGAATATGGAAGGGTCAAGCTTAATGAACAGAAAATACCTATGAATACCCCTCCTCCCTAATTTTAGTCTAGGTCACCCTACTGCATCTAAAAATACAATGACTCCCACACAATATAAGCTCAAGACTCATCAGGGGGTAGGGAGGAAGGGTATTCATAGGTAGTTTCTACTCCTTAAGCAACAACAGACTTGTCAGAATTGACAAACGTATTCAAGAAACCAAAGAAGTCCAGTTGCCTTCACTTAAGCTACAACTTTAACATTGATCTCGTTGATGGTAGGGTTAGAAACTTGACCAGTTTCATATTTTGACACCACTCTGCAGTCATCTGCGGACCAAAAACCACATTAGATGGGTTTGTCGTGTGGGTAGGTGTTCTAGGGAGCGCTCTTTACCCGCTTTACGAATGTTAGCTCTAATGGTAGTGGCTAGCATTGTCAGTTCGCCATTTGTCAACAAAAACCACAACAAGAAAAAAAAGAAATTTGCTTTTTCTGTTGGCATCATGGTGGAGCAAGTAAAAGTAAAAGAGTAATGTCTTTGGAGGTGAAGTTAAGAGCTAGAACTGGACCGAACATTTTCGCAGCCTAGGGAGCCTGAGGGAGATAAAGAAGGCTACAAGATCACAAATTGATGGTGACCTGGCCTTGTTGTTACTGGACTTGTAAATAATAATAATATTTGTCCAACAGTGTGGATCTTTTTTACTTTGTGGTTTATTTTAATATTAGTTGGCTCATGTCAGTGTTAACTCATTGTTAGCGCTAGCGCTAGAATGAAAACATGAATTTAAGTCAAAGGGACTAAAAACGCCATTTTCTAATCCCGTTTGCTATGTGTCATGGATTTCTAGTGAAGTTTAGTGAACGTCGAATCCTTTGTCCAGGAGGAAAGAATCACCATAAATCTTACTATGCAGTAAGTAGCAGCTATGCTAGGGTAGAGGAGACATATGGTGATGTCATATTTTCGTCTTCGTCTTCGTCTTCCTCCGCTTATCCGGGTCCGGGTCGCGGGGGCAGCATCCCAACTAGGGAGCTCCAGGCCGTCCTCTCCCCGGCCTTGTCCACCAGCTCCTCCGGCAGGACCCCAAGGCGTTCCCGGACCAGATTGGAGATGTAACCTCTCCAACGTGTCCTGGGTCGACCCGGGGGCCTTCTGCCGGCAGGACATGCCCGAAACACCTCCCCGGGGAGGCGTCCAGGAGGCATCCTGACCAGATGCCCAAACCACCTCAACTGGCTCCTTTCGATCCGGAGGAGCAGCGGTTCTACTCCGAGTCCCTCCCGAGTGTCTGAGCTCCTCACCCTATCTCTAAGGCTGAGCCCGGCCACCCTACGGAGGAAACTCATTTCGGCCGCTTGTATCCGCGATCTCGTTCTTTCGGTCATTACCCAAAGCTCATGACCATAGGTGAGGATTGGGACGTAGATCGATCGGTAAATCGAGAGCCTGGCTTTCTGGCTCAGCTCCCTCTTCCCCACGACAGATCGGCTCAGCGTCCGCATCACTGCAGACGCCGAACCAATCCGCCTGTCGATCTCCCGATCCCTCCTACCCTCACTCGTGAACAAGACCCCGAGATACTTAAACTCCTCCACTTGAGGTAGGACCTCTCCCCCGACCCGGAGGTGGCAAGCCACCCTTTTCCGGTCGAGAACCATGGTCTCAGATTTGGAGGTGCTGATCCTCATCCCAGCCGCTTCACATTCAGCCGCGAACCTACCCAGCAAGAGCTGAAGGTCAGAGCTGGATGAAGCTAGGAGGACCACATCATCCGCAAAAAGCAGAGACGAGATTCTCCTGCCACCAAACTCGACACACTCCACACCACGGCTGCGTCTAGAAATTCTGTCCATAAAAGTGATGAACAGAACCGGTGACAAAGGGCAGCCCTGGCGGAGTCCAACCCTCACTGGGAACAGGTCCGACTTACTACCGGCTATGCGGACCAAACTCACGCTCCTCTGGTAAAGGGACTGAATGGCCCTTAACAGAAAGCCACCCACCCCATACTCCTGGAGCGTCCCCCACAGGGTGCCCCTGGGGACACGGTCATAAGCCTTCTCCAAATCCACAAAGCACATGTGGATTGGTTGGGCAAACTCCCATGCCCCCTCCATCACCCTTGCAAGGGTATAGAGCTGGTCCACAGTTCCACGGCCAGGACGAAAACCACATTGCTCCTCCTCTATCTGAGATTCAAATATCGATCGGACCCTCCTCTCCAGTACCTTGGAGTAGACCTTTCCAGGGAGGCTGAGGAGTGTGATCCCCCTATAGTTGGAACACACCCTCAGGTCACCCTTCTTAAAGATGGGGACCACCACCCCGGTCTGCCACTCCCTAGGAACTGCCCCCGATGACCACGCAATGTTGTAGAGACGTGTCAACCATGACAGCCCTACAACATCCATAGCCTTGAGATACCCAGGACGAACCTCATCCGCCCCCGGGGCTCCGCCGCTGTGTAGTTGTTTGACTACCTCAGCAACTTCTGCCCCCGAGATCGGACAGTCCATCCCCAGGCCTCCCAGCTCTGGTTCCTCCTCGGAATGCGCATTGGTGGGATTGAGGAGCTCCTCAAAGTATTCCTTCCACCGTCCGACTATAGCCTCAGTTGACGTCAGCAGCTCCCCATCCCCACTGTAAACAGTGTGAGCGAGTTGCTGCCTTCCTCTCCTGAGGCGCCGGACAGTTTGCCAGAACCTCTTTTGAGCCGATCGATAGTCTTTCTCCATGGCCTCACCAAACTCCTCCCACGCCCGAGATTTTGCCTCGGCAACTGCCACTGCTGCACTCCGCTTGGCTATCCGGTACCTGTCTGCTGCCTCCGGAGACCCACAGACCAGCCACGCCCTGTAGGCCTCCTTCTTCAGCCTGACGGCTCCCCGAACCTCTGGTGTCCACCAGCAGGTACGGGGGTTGCCACCACGACTGGCACCGGCCACCTTACGACCACAGCTAGCAACAGCCGCCTCGACAATCGCAGAGTGGAACAAGGCCCACTCGGACTCAATGTCCCCCACTGCTCTCGGGACGTGGTCAAAGCTCTGCCGAGGTGGGAGTTGAAGACCGTCTTGACAGGTTCTTCTGCCAGGCGTTCCCAGCAGACCCTCACTATGCGTTTGGGTCTGCCAGGTCTACGCGGCATGTTCTCTTGCCATCTGATCCAACTCACCACCAGGTGGTGATCAGTTGACAGCTCCGCCCCTCTCTTCACTCGGGTGTCCAAAACATACGGCCGCAGGTCAGATGATACGACTACAAAATCTATCATCGACCTGTGACCTAGGCTGCCCTGGTACCAAGTGTACCGGTGGGCATCCTTATGTTCGAACATGGTGTTCGTTATGGCCAAACTGCGGCTTGCACAGAAGTCCAATAACAAAACACCGCTCGAGTTCTGATTAGGTGGGCCGTTCCTCCCAATCACACCCCTCCAGGTCAAGCTGTCATTGCCCACGTGAGCATTGAAGTCCCCCAGCAGGACAATGGAGTCCCCTGATGGAGCACTATCTAGCACTCGTCCCAGGGACTCCAAAAAGGGTGGGTACTCTGAACTGATATTTGGCCCATAAGCACAAACAACAGTCAGGACCCGTTCCCCGACCCGAAGGCGCAAGGAAGCTACCCTCTTGTCCCCCGGGGTAAACCCCAACACACAGGCAGAGAGTCTCGGGGCTAACAAAAAGCCAACCCCAGCCCTCCGCCTCTCACCCGGAGCAACTCCAGCAAAGTAGAGTGTCCAACCCCTCTCCAGGTCTCGGGTTCCAGAGCCAATGCAATGTGTCGAGGTGAGTCCGACTATATCTAGCCGGTACCGCTCAACCTCTGCCACAAGCTCCGGCTCCTTCCCCGCCAGCGAGGTGACGTTCCATGTCCCAAAAACTAGTTTTCTTGTCCGGGGATTGGACCGCCAAGGCTCCCGCCTTGGTCTGCCACCCGATTCGCATTGCACCGGACCCTTCATGTTCCTCCTGCGGGTGGTGGGTCCACAGTTGGACGAGCCCATGTATCCGGTTCGGGCTGGGCCCGGCCGGGCCCCATGGGCGAAAGCCCGGCCACCAGGCGCTCGCTCACGGGCCCCAACCCCAGGCCTGGCTCCAGGGTGGGACCCCGGTAACCCTCCGGGCCGGGTACTCCGACTCTTCGTTTTAACCGCCATGAAAGATCCTTCATGATGTCATATTTGCGACGTGCTAATGTTTGATATGTAGTCATAGGAACAATGAA